CAGGTCACTAAATATCTTATAGACAAAATCAACGAGAACCTGGGTCATGCACCATAGTTTTATTCTGATCCTCCTCCCACCCCGCACCCCATTTGGGATGAAAATTCCCTGTTATTTAACCCTTTAAACCCTTCATGCTTTCTATATTTCCTGGAAAGTTGTTTTTATTCAAATCTAGACTCATCTTGGGATAAGGTGTTGCTTAAATGTCTGCTCCTCTCTGACTCTTAGTCCTGGGATTTCTCAGTTTCAAAATAAATTACTCCAGTCTCTTGGGGACTCAAGAATTTGTTCCTTCTCTGTCAACTAATAGGAGATATTGGTTTTGACGCTGTAAAGCCTTACTCTGCTATCAGCACCGATGAGTTAACAAGGGATAGAAAAAGAAAATGATGGTTCACAAATCATTATGGAGTTCAAAAAAGTGATTGAGGGCCTGTGAGATAGCTCAGGAGGTAAAGGCACTGCGGCCAAGCCTCGTGAACCAAGTTCAGTCCCCAGGACAAACATGATGGACGTAGACAAGCAATTCCTGCCAGTTGTTCGCTGACCTCCACACATATGGACTGTGGCATGTGTGCTCGTGTGTGAGTGTGTGCGCACACACACACACACGCGCGCGCACACACACACGTGCGCGTACACACACAATAAATAAATAAATGTAAAGGTTTAAGAAATAAATCAATATTTTGTATTATTTTCTTCTGTGAGTGAAAACAGTCTATCGATATCCTTTTACTTATGGATAGTTTTTCACATATTTAATATCAATTTGAATAGTTATTTTTAGAAATAATCTAACTAAGCACATGATATGGGCTGTCCTTCTGTATATGTGTTGCTTTTTTTGGTTGATGACTACAGCGGTTTTGGCCATTAGCTTAGCAGAGTAAAGCCAGGCAGGAATTCTGAACAGAGATACAGTGATAGAGAGTAGGCAGAGTCAAGGAGACGCCAAGTAGCTGCCAAAGGAGGCAGATGCCACGTAGCTGCCCAAGAAGCAAGATGAAACAAACCAAGAGCCTAGTGGTAAAATGTAAAATAATAGAAATGGGTTAAGCTGTAAGAACTAGCTAGAAAATGTGCATAAGCCATGGCCAAACAGAGTTGTAATTAATATAGTTTCTGTATGATTATTCAGGTCTGAGCAGCCAGGGAAACAAAAGAACTATCTCTGTTTAGAGGCACAGCACCTAGAATCTTTTCCTTAATTTGTTCTCAAAATTAAATCTTAATTCTTACACGCTGAGTAGCTGGGTCTTTGCCTTGTGTCTCCTTGTGTCAGCTGCTGTTTCTGGGGAATTGTTTCTATGGGAAGAAACCTGGTTCTCTTGTGAAAAGCCGGACTTATACCTTGGAGAAGTTTTTCCAAACTTCAAGGCATAAAAGGATTTTCCATATGTATTTATTTCCTAATTAAAAATAAATACTATTTTATGTATGTGGGTGCTTTGCATGTATGTATGTCTGCATACCATGGAAGTGCTTGGTGTTAGAGGAGGCCCGAAAAGAGAATTAGAGCCTCTGGAAATGGAGTCACAGACAGTTGTGAGCTGCCATGCGGGTGCTGGGAATTGAACCCAGGTCCTCTAGAAGCGAGCTGATGTTCCTAACCTCTGGACTCTTTCTCTAGTCTTACCAGATACATGAAAGTCTCCATGTATACATATTTGCCCTCTGTGTAGGGTGAGATACTCATGAACGTTACCCCTTTCCCCAGCCATGCTTTCAGCGTGTTCATACCGCCTCCACATTCCTAAATGTTTATAAATTGTTCCCTATCATTTCACAGATTGTTTTCCAAGACTGGCACAGCACTTTGGACTTCACCCCTGTGCTATTCTTACCATAACAACAAAGGCATCCAGGTTCACAACTGAGGTCATTTCCAAATGTTACTCAGTCTATATCACTTGCTACATTTTAAAGAGTCTGATTATGGGGTTAGAACTGTGCCTCAGTGGCAGGACACATACTTAGCATGAGCAAGGTCCTCAATTTAATTTCCTACATCAACTAAGACTAAGAAAAGTTAAAGTGGAAAAATCTGACACCATGATTCCATGCATTTGGAGATCTATGATCTTTAACATCAGGACTAGTGTCCCTTTTCTATATTAAATATGCAATAGGGCTGAGATGGTACAGAAGAGGACCCAGCACCCACAGCCACCTTTGCCTCCACCTCCAGAGGGTTTCACACCTTTCCTAACCATCACCAATGTGCACATACCCACAGATAATTTCTTAAAATGGGGACATATAAATATAATGCACACTTACACATTTTGTTTTCTTGAGTCATTGACACTGAACACTGTTCCTAAACTTGGTGAACAGCTTCTGCTTCCTACTCAGCCCTTAACTGCAGACTTCCATGGCAGGATGTAGGAGCTCCAGCAGAAACAAGAATCCCATTTAAACTCTTAACTGGTCTGTAAGCTGAATCTTGGAAACCAATAGTTTACTATGAATTCAGCATTCACTTCAGAAAATATTACCAAGAACTGGCATCGAGGCATATCCTCTCTCCTTATAGAAATGGTCTTGATGCAAACATATATTTTGGAAATATGACTTGAAAAAAAATAAATGTAATATCTGTCTTGGTTGAAATATGACTTGAAAAATTAATTTAACATCTGTCTTGGTCTCTGTTACCAAAACACAAACATCCTCAGGTATATTAGAACATGAAACAAAACTTCAACGTGTTATGAAGAAGTGGCGTTTGCTTCAGAACACATGAATGTTAAGAGCAGTCATTTAGAATCTCCAAGGTCTGGCTTGAATCTTACTTGTTCAGTGACTGTCATCTTTTGACACCTCTCATTTTTCCTCACGGTCAAACAGAGATGAAAATCTTCATGGTAGTTGTTTTAATCAGGGTGACTTTGTTCCTTCTGCCAGGAACATTTGGAGATAACTACAGGAATCTTTAGAGTGCCCTGAGAAATGGTGTCCATGGACATCTGTCAGGTCTGTCAGGTGACCATCCCAGCTGGGGCCAAACATCTCACTGCCAGTTTTCTACAGTGAGTATTATCCAGTCCAAAGCATCATTAGTGCCAAGGCAAAGAAACACGACCTTATAACTTGGGAGATCAAAATCTGTGTATACATCTGCAATATAAGCCCTAGTGGGCTGTTAGTCTTTATTATGGCCACACCTTGTACTAAGAGTTCTATATAATTTTTTCATTTTATTTACATATCTTTGGCTAGGGATACAGCTCAATGGCAAGCATTTGCCTAGCTTCAAAATAGGGTAAACAATTCATATTGAAAAGGAACCATTACCACCACTGCGCATGGATGAAGGAATTAAGGCTTTGGTTCAATTAGATGGCAGGTAACATGCTCAGACCACTGTCAATCCAGAACAGAGCTGACTCTCAAACCCAGGTGTCTTAGGGTTTACTATTGCTTTGAAGAGATACCATGACCATGACTGAAATTACCTGGCGCGAGTGAGAAGGAAACACGGAACACAAACAAACTCACTTAGGAGTTTATTAGAGGGGGTGCATACAGGCCTCGGGGTCCATGTGCATAGAGGCGGGGGGAGATGGCGTGTCCAGCTTTTAAAAGCTGCTTAGCACATGCACACAGGGGGTGGGCGTGACTATGTTATACACTGATGACACAGATGATGAGCGACTCATACATGCGTGCAAGGCTTTCGCTGAGTCATACGTGGATATAACCATGCATGTGTGCACGTGGGTCATGCGGGGGCCCTTTGTGTCCGAGGACCCGTCCGGACATGCCTGCCTTTAGAACCCGGAAGTGCAGCCTTATCTGTGGCTGAATAATTACAATGGCAACTCTTATATAGAAAACATTTAATTGAGGGTGGCTCACTTGCAGTTTCGGAGGTTCAGTCCATTATGATCATGAAGTAGAGCATGGTAGCATGCAGGGAGACCTGGTGCTGGAGCTCAGAGTAAAGATGGAGAAAAAGACCTCAAAGCCCACCCCTACAGTGACACTTCCATCAGAAGGTGTGGCCCAGATTAAAGGTGTCCACTGCAGTCTAGATTGGTGTGTGCTCCAGCCTCCAAGTCTGGATTAAAGGTGTGTGTCACCCAGCCTCCTCCAACAAGGCCACACCTCCTAATAGCCCCATGAGCTTATGGGGGGCAAACACATTCAAACTACCACACCAGGGTTGTTATAATGGCTCTTAACCATCCCCAAGCTGAGTCTTAGATAACCCATGTGTATCAGTCTCTATCTGTCTCTCTCTCGTTTCTCTCTTGTGCTGTCTTCCTGACACCTGGGACTGGGTGACTCAACCTAAACATTCGTGTTCCTTCACTATCAAAAGCAACTCCAACTTAAGTCTTTCCCAATTTCACAGGACAGTTTCTTCCTTTCAGAGAATTAAAATGGGAGATTTTATAAGAAAGGTACACATGCGAGCATGCGAGCACACACACGCACACACACACACACACACACACACACACACACACACACAAATACGTATTACTTCTCTAGTTATACCCGCAAAATTGTAGCCACAGCTTGAGAGATGGCTCAGGGACAAAGAACATGTTCTGCCTGCCCTTGCAGTGGACCCTTGCTTGGCTCCCAGCGCTGACATCAGTTAACTTACAACCACGTGTGACTCCAGCTTCAGGGTATCTGGTGCCTGTGACACCAGGTGCACATATCTCCACATAGCCATAATTAAAACTCTTCAAAAGCTGTAACCATATTCTCAAGACATGGAAATCATGGAACACACTACGAGTGAATATTCTAATGCTGACCCTAAGGCAGGTTACAGAAACAGAGATGGCAGAATTTAGGGACACTGAAGGTGGAGGAAGGTCATTTTAAAAAAGGAGGAGAAGCATACAAAGTGAGCTTATATCTTGTATCTCATCACCAGGGAAGCAGAAGCCAGAAGGTCAAGTTCAAGGCTGGCCCTAGCTACAAAGGTCCTGAGACACCATCTCAAACAGCCTAGAGAAAAGGACACAAGAAAGCACGCTGCAATGTCTAACTTTATTTGTTCAAGAGCTCCTAGTGCAAACATCAAACAAGTCTGGGTTTTGATCTGTGAGCTCATATCACATGTCAGGGGAGAAGCAAATTGCGACCTATAGACAAGGCTGAAGACTAAAGGTTCACGGTTAGTGGCATTGGAGGCTTGGGTTTTACAGCCTAGAACCCAGCAGTCACAGGTCTTTTAGGTCCTTCTGGATGTCCCACAGGGTGTCTGCACTCTTCCTGAGCTGAGCAACCTCATCATCCTTCAGCTTCTGGTTGATGACGCTGGTCAGTCCTCGGGCATTGAGGATGCATGGGAGGCTGAGGAAGACTTCGTTCTCAATGCCATACATCCCCTATGAGAGCAACAAAAGCATTCAGACAAGGCATGAGGTCATGGCACAAATGATCAGGAGAGTTATGTTGAAAACAGATGACTGTAGATTTGCTGAACATGTATTCTATTTTTCATTTAACTGGTCCATATGTCCATATATCTTTGGGGTTTGAAGTCATTTTCATATTTATAGACTATACAAACTTACACTGCAGAAAAACTAGTTACAAGAAGGTAGTCAGTACTTAGTTTTCAAGTCAAATACTATTTTCTGCTTAAATACGCTTTGCTATATGAATCTTTAAATGACTTTCAATGAGGTCCCTTAATGGATAACTTTCCATCAACTCATTTTTTTTTCATTTTTATATTGTTTGTGCCTGGGGTGGCACATGCCTTTAATCCCAGCACTCAAAAGGCAGAAGTACACAGATCGTTGAAGCTAAACTATGCAGAGCAAGTTCCAGGACAGCTAGGGCTACACAGAGAAACTTGTCTTGGAAAACAAAACAACAACAACAATTTTTGTGTGTGTTTGTGTCTGTGAGTTTATGTGTGCCAATGAGTACAGGTGCCTACAAAAGCCAGAAGAGGGCGTCAGATCCCCTGGAACTGGAGTGACAATACCATCAAGAGGTGCTGAGGAAGCAGTTTTAACTGGCTCTCAAATGTTCTTTAAATAAGGGAATTGATTATGGGTTCAATTTCTCTATATAACTAATGGTTTAATTAGTTATCTTAGTCTTTAAAACTATTAACCTCAAACATTTTTGTACATACACCAAAGTAGATAAAATAAACATTCTTCTCTAGGCACCCTAAAGAAGTCAACAATTACTCAAATTGACCCATACTCGCTTTATAAACTGTCCATAGTACGCTAAGCCAAACATCTGGTGCCATGCTGTACACCTAACCTTTCTGTATGTGTGGGGATGCATGTGTGCATCGTGTTTCAGTGTGTGCATGTAGAAGTCAGAAGTTGGCAGCAGGTGTCTTCCTTGATGGTTCTTCACTTTACTCCCCTTTGAAATGACAGCTTGTCAATTCAGCTTCCCAGCCAGCTAGCTTACTTTTGGGGATCTCACTTACTTGCCATAATTTTTTTTCCATTCTTGGCACTGACATGTAGAAACAACTCACTTGCTACATACGCTGTTTTAATATAACTTTGCTTTTCTTGGATGGATTTTATTCCAACGAAGTAATGCAGTAAAGGTTCATCTCAAACTTGCCATGTAGCTGAGGATGACTTTGAACTTCTGATCCTTTTGTCTCTACATCCTCAGTGCTCAGATCTGCACAACCACACCTGATTTCAGCAGAACTGAGAAACCAAACCTACATCCAGTCCCTGGCTTCAGGTTCTTTTGGCCTCTTTTGTATGTTTGCTTCATAGTTTTTGAATTAAACTAGATTTGCTACGTTATCGAGTGCTCCATGAAAGGCTGTCTACGGTTTATTACATAAGCTTAAAATGGACCTCGTATATGCTTATTTAATAGTACAGTACGGGCAGGTTCTGAACAGGACTCATGGTTAATAGTGTTTATGGCACACAAGGAAGATTTCTCAGAAAACGTTATCAGACACTTTAGCTCCTACAAAGTTAAGTGTTCTTGCCTTAGCCTTTGGTTGGGGAGAGATCAACTATGTTTCTATAAACTGTAAATGCAGAAGTAACTGTGGACTGAAGCTTCTTTGTCTTTCTCTAGATGAATCTCTTTATACAACATGAGACTAGACACGTTGCTACTTTTTTCCCCCAGCGGTTTCTCTCACCTTCACCATCGTAGACACAGGGTGAATCCGAGACAGGTTTTTCAACATAGACTCAATGAGGTCAGCCACACTTAGCCCAATGGCCCAGTTGGTATATCCTTTCAGCTTGATGACTTCATAGGCACTTAGGAAAAGAAACCATTTGAGAGATCATTGAACCTGACACTGAATTGATACCTGCTCTGTCTCTAATGGTCATCTTGGCCAATTTCTAAACTTTTCCGGCTTTAGTTCCTCTTAGTAAAGGAGAACATACACTTGCTTTGTAAGATTTTTATGAGCATCAAGTGAATTAATGTACAAATAAAAGCTGTAAAAATGTAAGGACTACATGGCAGAGTGATACACAGGTATCAGTGAATATTTACAAAGTCATGATGGTTATGAATGTTCACTCTCTTTTCAAGATTTTTTTTAAAATGTATGCATGTGTACCATGTGTCTGTGCGTTTGTATGTGCAGGTGGGTGCATGTGCACATGAGTGCCAGTATCCAGGGGTCAGAGGTATCAGATGCCCCTAGAGCTGGAGTTATAGGCAATCATGAGTCACCCACTGTGGGTGCTGGGAACTTAACTCCAGTCCTTTACAGGAGCAGTACAAACTCTTGATTGATAAGTTATTTCTCCAGTCCTTAAAACCATACACTTCCCACCACCATTGATTTACAAAGAAGTGTATTTCCAAATGTATTAATGAACTTAGGAAACAGTGAAAGACAAGACAAGCCATCACTCAAATGAGCAGTAACTTCATTCATAAAATCAAAGCACTGAAAAATCTAAGAAATTTTTAACCCGTAGATTTATTTTTACTACTCAGTCAAAATCTCCAAGAAGAGTCATTCTAAGTAAAACTTCCATATTTGAGGTAGCAATTTTTCTGCAAGAACTTTGCAAATAATAACACTGAACACTTGTCAGTGATAAAGCCCTGTATGTAATGTGTGGCTTCATTTTGACAAGTCTCCAGGGTCTTACACTAAACACAACTAACATGATTATCAATGACTATAACCTATACTTAATGCATCTGGGAGAAGAGGGGTGATAGATAACCCTGAATGTTAAATGGCTTCCAGTATGATAGTCAGCTTGAGTATCGGAACCAGAAGAATCCAATGCAAGCCTGCATTTTTGGCTGCATTTCAAAGTGATACATTGTTGGGACACAACAATCATGAAAGAGAATAGTTGGTAACCGAGAGGAATGGCTTTAGAAAACGAAATTAATGTGGGAGACTTTTTTAAGGGGGTGGGGTATGGTGAAGGACAGTAAGACCAGTGCTGCTTAAATACTTTCAGCAATTTGCCTGACTGTGTGTGCACGTGGTTATTTGACTAACAGGGTCCAGGTTTACCTTATTGGTTGACAGGTAACACAGTGAAGGCCCTCTCTCTAGGCAGTTCCATGTTGACTGCTACAGCTGGATTTGTATTGCAGCTTTCTCTAGATACCTGCACAGCAAATCTGACTGGTCTAAATTAATCCTGCCCACTTCTTAAAGAGACTCATCAGGGGAGGAGCTTCCTGAGCAGGCTGTCTGGAAACAGCTTAGAGTTTTACCTTCCAGGACAGGACACGAACTCACCAAGGTGGGGTCATCTCTACTCACCTGTCCACCACCATCTTATGTACTTCCTTCCAGTTTTCACTGTCATTGTCCGTTCCCATTTCAGGGTTCAGCTCTTGAAGGGAGACTCCTGCCACATTCACCCCACTCCACACAGCCACTGTGAGAAAAACAAAACTTTCTTATCTCAGATCTCAACTCTGATGCAAATTATCCCAACACCAGTTGGTACTATTCAGTGGCATCTGACTCTAGTAGAGTTTTCATCCCCTTTTGGGGAAGTATTTGTTCTAATACTTGGCTTCAACTAGCAACAAAACTGACCTTTTAAATAAATAAATAAATAAATATAACATGCATGTGTACATACACACATACATAATTTGTATGTATGTATGTATGTGTATGTATGTATGTACTTGTATGAGCATGTACAGGTGCCCAAGGAGTCCAGAAGAGAGAGTCGAAGCAACTGGGGCTGAAGTGACAGGCAGTAGTGAGCCACCTAATGTGGGTGCTATGAACTTGGTCCTCTGCCTTCTGCCTCAGCAGCGACTGCTCTTTGCTGAGCCATGCTTCCAGTCCCTACTACTGACCTTTTCACTCTCAACATATGTGGTTCAAAACAGTCACTGTATAATTTATAGAGAACATAAAATTATTTCCAAATCTCTAGGTTGGTAAAAATCACAAGAGATTATAGTTTGGGACCATCCTAAACTCTCAATTTTAGAAATATAAACTCCTCTACTGGGGATTGTTTGTTTGGTAACAAAAGCCCATTTCTTCTTAAGAAAAAAAAATCTATGGTAATTATACCCAAATACAGTTATTATAAAAGCACACTAATATATAAATTAGGGTCTCCATAATTTAGGGGAGAATGTCTGCAAACAAACACAGGAACTGGAGTTTGAAACCTCAGTCTCGCACTCCAAAAGTGTGACTCGCAGTATGAGTCAAGTACAGTTCAGTGCAACTACACAGAGACAGCAGCTAAACTGCTAGGGACCAAGTAAGACCCTCATGGTCCATGGTTTCTACTGCTTCAGGCCAACTAGACATCCTCATGGATTTTAAGGAACACCATGGGATGTGAGATTCCCCTCTGTATGCTGTGAATCCCATTGGTGAATAAAAGAACTGCCTTGGCCTGTTGATAGAGCAGAACTTAGGTAGGTGGAGAAAACAAATACGGAGTTTAACACAGTTTCTCACTGTTTGCTGGTGGTGTGCTGCAGCTCCTTAAAGAGAGGTTTTCCTGACTCAGTGGTAGCCGTGGTTTTGAAATGCGGGCTTTCTGGGCCGTGCTGCTAGCATGACCCCTGGTTCTTTCAGGAGATCCAGCCAAGGAGCATTTAAATGGGGTCTGTGAGAAGAATGCTACAACTTGCTTTGTGGAGACAAAGACCCACTGTGTGCCTAAAAATGGGGCTGTGAGCATGGCTCTCAGAGGTAGCAAACAGCTCCACCATGCTGGGCTGGGCAGGACAAGCAGGCAGTGCTGTATTTCCTCTAGCAATGGCGCCACTTAAGTTTATAAGAAGGGCTTAACATTTTAAGAAGCAATTCTGTTCAAAAAATAATCACAGATATACAATAAAGACAAATCAAGATGGAAAAGACCTCTAAATGAGACACAGTGTTTAAAAAATGTACATAGGCTTGGGAGAGAAAAAAAAGAGTAAAGAGATAGTAAATGCAATATGAAAGAATACAGATAGTAATAGATTAAAGGAGTAAAGATAATAAAATAAGTATTAAACTTGTAAAAAAAAGGTAACAGAGTAAAAATAAATAAGCCATGTAAAGATAAGATATACAAAGAGAGACGGATTATGTAGATTATTATGTTTTCTTTAAATTTTTTGACTGTGAATGAGCTAAGTACAGAGACACATTTCATTGTATGGGCTGCTAAGCTGAACCAACATATGTATTTTAAAAGTACCTTAAATTCAAAATATGGTTCTAAGGATATGTTGCTTTGGAAAAGAGGTTCTTCTTTTGTTTCCACAGAGTATGAGACTCTGTGAATTGCTTCCAGACTAATGTGGTTTGATGGACCAATACCCACTAAAAGGTTGCCTTAAACAATCCTCAAAAATTATTTTGCCCAATAAACAGCAGAAAGCAGTTTAGAGAAGAATTGTGCCCATATTCCTAAATATTATTTATAAATGTTTGTTTACATTTAAAAGGGGATATGCTAGAGATTTGCATTGGTATTGATCTTGGTTTATTGATAAAATTTGAGGTCAATTTTGTTCTATCTTGTGATTGTGTAGTTCATTTTAAAATGTAATGTATAATTAAGAAATAAAAGTTAATAGATAATCATCTATAATAGTCAAGCTTGTAGTCATGTTAGATTTTCTAGATGGACAGTTATGTATTTCAGATGGGAAGACATTCTTCAAACCTTTCAAAGACTACAGAATATGACATTTAAAATGTTTAAAATCTTAGGACTTTTATGACACATCTGCTCCTGGCAGCACCAATCTACTTCAAAAGGATAATGGGCATCAAAGAGGCTCCTTATGGGGTTTGTTAGCAATTTGGATAAGAAACTGCTCTTGCCTGGACTGCTTAATTGGACATGCAGGACCCACAGAAAAATGACTGCTAAACTTGCCTAAAGGTAAGACTGTCCTTTGGAGTTCTTGTTTCATGAAAGAGTCTGCTAGACATTCTGCAGGACACATAAAAAAGTGACTGGCAAACTGCCAATATAGCAGATCTATCTTTAAAATCTCCTGCTTTATGGAAAAGTCTGCTGGATACTATGGGTCTGTAGGCTAAAAATGGATGCCCTAATGGTACAGAAAAACTTTGGGTGACTTTCCAGATAGTGAGATTTCTCTGTCAATTCTAGAATTTTGGAAGTTGCTTTTAATGCACTTCCTGTTTACTTAGGTAATATATCCCACTGGAGTCTTTGATGGAGTTAGAGAGTAGATAGTAATAATATAGCTTTCCTTAATTATGGTAAATGATAAAATAGATATAAATATTGTAACTGTAATTATTGCTTAATACCTGCTTTGTTATGTTATTTTACTATGCTAAAGTTAAAATCTTCCTTCTTATTTAAACAAAAAAGGGGAGGTGATGTGGGATTTCCCTCTGTATGCTGTGAATACCATTGGTGAATAAAGGAACTGCCTTGGCCTGTTGTTTGGGCAGAACTTAGGTAGGTGGGGAAAACTAAACTGAATCCTGGAAGAAAGGAGGCAGAATCAGTGAGAAGCCATGGATCCATTGGAGACAGATACACTGAAACATTGCTGGTAGACCACAACCTTGTAGTGATGCACAGATTAATAGAGATGGGTTAAATAAGATGTAAGAGTTAGCCAATAAGAGCTAGAGCTAATGGACCACGCAGTGATGGAATTAATACAGTTTCTGTGTAATGATTTTGGTTCTGGGAGTCCGGAACAAACAAGCAGTCCTCTTCCAACAACCATGGATCTATCTAACTGTGCCCAAAAAAGAATGACTTTTCTCTCATTCTGTATAAATACAGGTCAATAAGGGAATAGGAAAAAAAACCACTGCTCTAAGATAAAATCGACACACTAACAGACCAAAGTACTGCACACCCACGGGAAAACACGGCAGAGGCCCCAGAACCTGTGCAATATTTATCTGGAAACATAACCTTGAACTCTTCAGAAACAGACATGGATGGATATTTGTACTCCAATAATGTCAACATCATGAAGACACACAGATCAAGAACTGCTCCGGACTAAAGAAGACTCAGGAAACAGAATGAGTTATGACCCAAGATGTCAGGATGGATCCAGATGGGGAAAAGGGCCCACAGGACATCAGAGGATGATATTTGCAAATTGCCCATGGGTTAAATATTGGCTCAGTGTTACATTTCCTGAATAATAAATAAAAGAAAAAAGGACCCCCCCCCAGGCTTTGATCCCAGCAATCTGGAGACAGAGGCAGGAGGATCAGAGTTCAAGGTTATCTTCTGATACTGGGAATTTTAGGCAAAAACTGGACTGCATGAAAAACAATAGCAAAACCACAGAACAAAGTAAAGCATGAAGGAGGAGGGAAAGATAGAATAGAAGAAATCACAGATTCAAGGATTTAGGGAGAAAAGACTATGATTTAATGGGGGACAGCAAACACAGTGAGGCAGGCAAGCTGGCTCAGCGGGTAAAGGTGTTTGTTGCCAAGACTGATGGCCTGAGTTTGATCCTTGATAACTTTGTGATAGGAGGAAAGCAACTCCCAAAGTTGTCCTCGGATTTCCACATGTGTGCAGATGTTCACACAGAGATGTTTTTAAAAATAGCTAGATGAAGTTGGGCATGGTGGCACATACCTCTACCCCCTGCACTAGAGAGGCAGGGGTAGATTTCTGTGATTTCAAAGCCTTCCTGGTCTACATGGCAAATTCCAGGACAGCTACATTGTAAAGTTCCATAGTAAGACCCTGTCTGTAAAACAACCAAAAATAAAAAAAAAAGATAGCAAGGTGGATGGATGCATGAATGGATGGATGGATGGAAAGATGGATGGATGGATGGATGGATGGATGGATGGGTGGATGGATGAACAGATGACAGCAAAAGCAAACTGGAATAGAGTCAAAAATACAACTATACTATTTCTGAAATCTTTCTGAAATATAGCAAAGCATATAAAACTAAAATTTGAAATAAAAAAGAACAGTCTGCATAAGCTGGAAACACAAAGGAAATCATTTTTCTTACCGCTGGAGTCACCATGTTCGCCCAGAATCCACCCATGGCAACTGCTGGGATGAATGCCAAGCTTCTCAGCCATAAGGTAGCGAAACCGAGCAGAATCCAGGTTGCATCCACTTCCAATCACACGGTGCTTGGGTAACCCGCTTAGTTTCCAGGTGACATAAGTAAGAATATCCACTAGATATTTTAGAAAAAAGAAAGTAAATTTGAACTGCTGAACCAATTAGAAGGTATTCTGGCTTCTTCCTCTCCACATGCCCATCTCTCAGATGAGATATGATCTAAAAAAAGTCTGTAACTTAACTTTTCAGACTCAGGTTCAGACAGATAAGAATGAAGCATTTGTAAAAAAAATGTAAATATAAAAGACATAAAAACTGTGCACATGGATTATTATTTGACATAAGAATACCTAGGAACTTTACAAGTCAATGAACTTTACCATGAAAGAAAGAAAAAGGGCTGATTCAGCCTCACTGGGATGGCCTGAATAAGAAATACCCTCCTGATGGAGGAGGGTCATCTTTCTATCTGTTGTTTCATTGGTTAAGTAATAAAGAAACTGCTTGGCCTCTGGTAAGACAGAAAATTAGGTAGGCGGAGTAGACAGAACAGAATGCTGGGAGGCAGAAGCCTAGTCAGTCAGTTGCCATGATTCTCCCACCCGACACAGCCACAGGATAAGATCTTCCCTGGTAAACCACCTCGTGGGCAACACAGATTATTAGAAATGGGTTAGATCAATATGTAAGAGTGAGCCAATAGGAGGCTGGAACTAATGGGCCAGGCAGTGTTTAAAAGAATACAGTTTCTGTGTAATTATTTCGGGTAAAGCTAGCCGTGCGGACGGCCGGGTGCCAGGAACGTAGCCCGCCTCTCCTAATACTACACCCTCCCCCACATTATAAGCATGCAGTTGAATGCTTAGTAACCAGGGAATGATACTACTTAAAAGGATCAGAAGAATCAGGAAGCGTGGTCTTGTTGGAGTAAGTATGGCCTTATTGGAATATGTGTGGCCTTGCTGGAGGAAGCACGTCAGTAGGGAGTGGGCTTTGAGGTTTCAAAAGCCCATGCCAGGCCCAGGCTCTCTTGCTCTGCCTATGGATCAGGATGTAGAACTCTCCGCTATTGCTGCAGCACTGTGTCTGCCTGTGGGCCGCCATGCTTCCTGCTATGATAATGGACTAAACCTCTGAAACTGTAAGTCAGCCCCAATTACATGCTTTATTTTGTTATAAGTGTTGCCTTGGTCATGGTGTCTCTAACAGCAACACGACACTGATGTACTCACTTAGATTGCCCCCAGTTCTAACAGTCTGTGGCTGTGGAGGCTGTCATCACAAACAATTGTCACTTCTAGGTTAGCAAGGGCTGCCAGGAAGCATTTTCTTGAGTACAATATTGTCTAACAACTTATCACGAAATTCATGTCATTACTGTCTCATGGTTGGACAGCTGCTATGTAACCTTCACCCCTATGTGGCACAGTGGTAAGATGTTTGCTGGGTCACAGAAGGTAAAGGCTATGTTGGAAAGAAAAGGAAAGAAGTACACTGTCGGAAAAGAAGCCGACAGTGTATCTGGTTATCCCCCCCACTGCACTCCCCTGTGCAGCCTGGCGAAGTATTTTAAGCTCGCTCTGACTGGATAATGCCTTTGTATGCCAACTTGAATACATCAGAAGTGGTCCCCCTAACAGACATGGCCCCCCCCACACACTCTGCAGAAGTGGTCCCACCTTGCAGAAGCGGTTTCCCCTACAAAAGTGATTTCCTCATGCAGAAGTGATTCCCCCTCCTGCAGACATGGTTCCTCCTTCCATGCAGAAGCGGTCCCCCACGCCGCAGACATTGTTCCCACCCTACAGAAGTTCCCTGAAGACTCAGACTTAGAAAGTTTACCATGGAAGTGATATAATTAATGACGACTGAAACAGGACGTGGATATGGAATAATATGGCTAGCTTTCTGCCATTTCTATCCTACAATGACCTGGTGCACATGTTTACATACACGACTGAACCATCCAGGAAGCCCCAATCTAGACTCATAAAGAATGGAAATACAGAAATGGTCTCTAACAGGTCCCAACTCCCAGTACTAAGGGAACTGCAGTGATTCCCAAGCTTCTTCACAATCCTCCAAGGAAGGGTCAGAGACAGCGCTACCATTTTATCAGCATTCTGTGTATGCGCACCATCACGCAGTAACATAAATGATAAACTACAGACCAAAGATGTGTGACACTGACCTGAGCGGGGACACAGCTCAACGAGAGAATACTTACCTACCATGTAGTTCAATCCCCCGTGCACCCCAAAACAAGTGTGTGTGTGGTTGTGCATGTGTATGTGTGTGTGTGTGTGTGTGTGTGTGTGTGTGCATGTGACAGAGATGGAACTTTAGCCATTTGTTATGGCACACGATAAAGTAAAATTTACTTTCAAAACCTTAAATTGTTTTTAGAAAACGTTCTTTTTATAAACAGAAAGAAAAAAAGCTAAGGCAAGAAAATGTCAAACAAAAACCAGCTCGGCCATTTCAAAATCACTTTCTTTGCAAGATGGTGACAGACAAACAATTGATACCAGGTTCTACAAGCTGATTCTGTTTTTAGAAAGTTTTAGTTATTTTTCTTTTATGTGTGTTTATATACCTATATGTCCATATGCCACACGCAGAGGCCAGAAAAGGGCATCAGATCCCCCAGAACTAGAGTTACAGCTGGTTGTGAGCCAACATGTGGGTGATGGGAATTGAATCTGGGTCCTCTGCAAAGGCAGCTGCGGGCTCTTAACTACCAAGTCATTCTCTCCAAGCCCCTTTGGGAGATGTGACTATTTTGTCTCTTGTCCTGATTTATCAATTCAAATGAATGGCTCGGTGGCAACTTGGTGGTGTAGATTTTGCTTTGTGAACCCACTCTGACTTTTACCCTGGTCTGATCGCCCAGCAGAAGCTGTAAACAATGGCATCGTATAATTTTTATTATTAGGCTAAAAGAGGTGGTGTCGGGGACTGGAGTGTGTTATATACGGCGTATGCACACAAGAGCACACACATTCTTGTGCGAGTGTGAAGGCCAAAGGTCTATGAGTCTTCCTCAGTTGCTCCCTGTCTTATTAACTAATCCAGAGTTGGCCAGTTTGGGTAGGATGGCTGGCCAATGAGTGCCAGGCAATCACCTGTTGCCATCTCCCTGGCACTGAAATTAAAACTGTGTGTCCCCAAGCATGGCATTTTACCTGGTTGCTATAGATCCAAACCCAGGTCCTTATCATAACATATACTTTGCAGGGTCATTGCCCAGCTCCATCCTTACAGCATTAACAAATGCCTTCCAGCTCTACAGCACACAATGGTTGAAACAAAAAGATGAAACCCCACCATACAAAACTCACATTTTTAAACATTTGGCCTGGGATGGAGCCATCTGTTTTGCAAACACCATCTTTCTGCACCAGTAACAGCAGACATGTGAACCAACTCTGCCAGTAAGCAAACCCAAAACAAAGTCCCCAAAGGCGAAGCAGACAGAACAGAACCAGACAGACCACTGTCACAGTTAAAGCCCCGCGTTAGTACCTGGGTTGGACACCACAATGATGGTGCAGTCAGGGCTGTACTTGATGATCTGAGGAATAATGAACTTGAACACATTGACATTTCTCTGCACCAGGTTGAGTCGACTCTCTCCCTCCTGCTGACGGACTCCTGCGGTCACCACCACGATCTTAGAATTGGCTGTCACAGAGTAATCTTGAAGAGATATGGCAAGAGAAGGAACCTTAAATTCAACTCCTGGGCCAAACAGGCCATCTATGGCATGCTCTGGAAGCTTCACCATGCATAAGCCTCCAGAACTTACATGAGTTACAGTTTCTGTATTAAAAGACTGTGTTTTAAAAAGGTGTGTGTGTGTGTGTGTGTGTGTGTGTGTGTGTGTGTGTAGATGAGGGCATCAGATCCTCTGAAGCTGGAGTGGCAGGTGGTTGAGAGCTGCCCACACAGGTAGTGTGGACTGAACCTAGGTCCTCTGGAAGAGCAGCACACAGTAGTCAACTAAACACTAGGCCATTCCTCCAGCCCCTATTTAAAGGTTTTCAGAGCCGGGTGGTGGTGCACAGCTTTAATCCCAGCACTCGGGAGGCAGAGGTAGGTGGATCTCTGTGAGTTTGAGGCCAGCCTGGTCTACAAGAGCTACAGAGAAACCCTGTCTCAAAACAAACAAACAAACAAACAAACAAGAAAGAAAAAAGGATTTTCAGGTTCAAACTTCTGCAGCTGCAGTTTTTCTTCCCTGAGAGACAATGAAGCAACCCCACTTTAAAACTGGCAAATAATGAACCAGGGAAATGCCTAAAAGTATGTCTGTGGCTAAGAAGTCCATTTGATTTCCATGAACAGCTGAAACATGTCAGTGAGCCCGCAGCCCAGCAGACAGGCTTTCCACAATCACCATGAAATTATGGTTTTGCATATTCCTGTTAGTAACACACAAGGCAAATGAAACTCAATTTTAAGTTTCTCTTTAGCCATATAATGCTACTGATATCTATAAAGGAAAAGAAACTGTTAAGTTTGGATTGGAAATCAAATTTTGATTTCTAATATTCCATGTACCAAGGGATGGGACACATTTCTAATGCCAGCACTCAGGAGGTTGTACCAGAAGGACTGCCATGAATTCAAGGCCAGTATGAGTTACACACTTATGTATTATACATATACATACACATGTCTACAGTATGTAAAGGCGTGCATGTACGCATGTTTAAGAGAGTCTCACTTGTAGGGGTGTGGTCGATTAATAACCAGACCAGCTCAATACAAAAGATTTAGTTTTTAATAATTGAGGAAAAAGGGAAAAGTTACACAACCAAAGGTCCCGTGAACTCCATAAGCGCAGGGAACCAAAGAGAGAGTGGGGAGCGCACAAGCAAGATTTATCTGTATTCTTTGGCCTTAGGGCAACACACCCCCAAGACAGAATGTGATTGGCTGAGCTTCCCCATCACTCACTATGCAGCCCTGTCTGGCTTGGAACTCATTATCTAGACCAGGCTGGCCTAGAACTGCTTGCCTGTGCCTCCTGAGTGCTGGGATTATAGATGTGTGCCACCACACCTGGTTGTCACATATTTGTTAGGGAAGATTATTTATGTTCTAGTGGTATTAATTTTCGTAGAATATTTTATTTTTCTGCTAAGGAAGTGTTGATGCAATCAGCAAATTCCAACACAACAGCTCATTCCCATCATTAATGCAGAAGATTAACAGTCTTTTCCCATAAGATGCAAGGACTGGTCTTATTTCCTCCTTACGACTGTGTTCTGAAGGTGGAATGACAAACCCAACCACCTGACCCAGGACTCTGAATGCTACATAAGTAACAACCATTAGGTAGCTTCTTCCAAGGGAGCTGAGGAACGAGGGGACAATTCTGGGACAAAGGAAATGCAGATTACTTGAAAACAGATATTACATATAATCATTCTGGGGTTTTATTATTTTTTAAAAGGTAAAGATGATTTAAAAAAAGAAAAGAAAACACACAAATTTTACTTCAGAAAACAAACTGCGCTGCTGAGCACAGTCCTGCACACCTATAATCCTGGCAGCTAGGAGAGGCCAGCCTCAAGTGCATAGTGAGTTCAAGGCAACCTGGATTCCATGAGCTCTGTCTCAAGTAAGCGAAATGAACAAGAACCATGTGTTTGTAAAGTAAAGCTGACAAAGATGACTTCTGGTATGTGGCACACAGGACCACATTCTACAGGGATTCTCAAAGGCAGAATGTGTTCACATGCTATGTGCATCTAAAGCAAAATCTCCAGAAAACGGATGTCTAGAAACTGATGCAAAAAGGTTGGCATGTCTGAGGCCAATTCAGACAGTAAACAACACAGCACACCACAGCCTGAGATTCTCTACTGGTGATATGGCCGCAGTAGAAATGGAGAAGAATCTCATTTTTTTTTTTTTTTGGTTTTTCTAGACAGGGTTTCTCTGTGGTTTTGGAGCCTGTCCTGAAGCTAGCTCTTGTAGACCAGGCTGGTCTCAAACTCACAAGAATCTCATTTTTAATGACTATACATTCTACAAGTAGAACTGAGAACAAATTTTAAATTAAATAGGGGACTATTTGTAGGTAGTCGGAAATTTTGTAGTATATGAAATTACTAAAACAGATCATGAGTGTTTTGTTTTTAGCCATTATTAAAACAATCACTCCACAATTACAACTTTTTCTAGTTTAAAAAAAAATAGTTTTAACTAGGTGGTGGTGGTGTACATCTTTAATCCTAGCCCACAGGAGGCACAGGCAGGTGGATTTGTGAGTTCAAGGCTATCCTGGTTTACAGAACCAGTTCTAAGAAATCCTGTCTCAAAACGAAACCCAAACAACAACAAAACCCAAAAAACAAACAAACAAAATTTAGGATAGAGTATAACTCAGGAAACGTTGGGCACTTGCTCCGCATCCAGCAAGCCCTGGGCATCATCACCACAGGTAGTAATAGCAATAAATTAAAAGTAAATGATAAGTTTGTCATGCTGGGGGGTACATCCCAACCATCTATCCATTATAAAATTTCTTTCACATAAGATCCCTTGTAGCATGCAAAGAAACTACCTACCTTTATCCGCCACAATTTTGGAAGTCTGAAGAAACAAGCTCCCGTGCTGCAGATCCATCATCTCTCCTTTGAGCTTGTCTTCCAGGACATCCACAAGGGCAAGTTCATCAGCTAGGGACTAGAAACACAAAAGCAGGCGTTCGTTCCTATCATGGTTTGAGTATGAAGTCTCTCACAGGCTGTGTGTTCTGAACACGCAGCTCCAGCTAGCAGAGCTGTCTGTGGAAAGTAGAACCTTGAGGACACGAAGCTTCACTGGACAAGGGGGTCACTGGGGATGGGCTTGGGGTCCACATTATAGCTGGCTTAACTTCCCACCTTATCTTTGCAGCCTGATCTACAGAGATATAAATAAACATGCCTTCTCTGCCATGATTGTCTGTGGGGGAAAGTAACACACCTTCTCATTTGAATTGCTCACCAAGGGTTTGAGTATAAAAATAGCACCCTAAGTTACACAAGGAAGATTTAGGACCAATATATCCTAAAGAAGTCTTTTACAAATGGCTAAGCACCCAATGTCTAAAATCCTCAACTTTGGTGTTTGGTCTTCAATGACAATTCAAGAGAAATTACAAAGATTCCTCATGAAAGTTAAGTTGGTTCATTAAAAGACACATTGCCTACACATTACGTACATATATGAACATATATATGAATAAATATGTACATATATGAACACACACATATCTATGAGAGAGACAAAGACAGATGATAGATACAGACTGACTCAGAACAACACTAGAAGTGTGTTTTGATGTCATCATAATTCAGAGGGCTTATGGGAGAGTGATCGATTTAAATCTCCAAAGGTGAGTTTACATTGGAGTTGAATGTGGTTGAACCCTAGAATGCTTAACTTGTCAGGAAGGGCAGTCAAGTCTTAGGATAAAGAGCCAATCCTCGGGAACCAATACCTAAGCACGGGGAGAGACGACAGCTCTGTATCAAATATGGACACAAACTTTTATATACCTTCTTACTTATACGTGCTTGGAAAACTTTTAAAGACAACCGTTCTTCTGCATGCAGCATCTAAGAGCCCACAACATCCTCATTTTCATTTTCTAGTTCTAAATTAGCACCTTCTCACTTAATAATAACCTAATAGATTCTGTAACCACACCCAGCACCAGCATTCCAATCGTCTTTTAGTAACAGTACAACACAAGCCAGTGTTTATGTCAGAAAGCACACCACAGGTCGTCAGTGCCTCTGTGGCAGTGGGCGTAGAGAATTAGCTTTGAAGTGCATGTTTAGCTGAAGGAAGCAGGAGAATCAGCACCTAAAAAACAACCAAAGCGCTGAATATAGCCGACTGTGTGTGCTGCACACCCTCCACAAGCAAAGATACACAAAGAGATGCATGGCCAAGGACTGATGCTGCGGATGACTCAAATCTCTCTACCTATATCTCCACAGCTCATGCATTTACTGTGACTATAAATAAACTATTAAGGAGCAAGACCAGTTGGAAGCCAAGAATGCTAATGTAGAAATCTTTTTAATCTCAAGAGGAATGGATGTAGTTATGAATTCTGCCTCTTAGTTAAATAAATGACTCACATCAATGGGTTGGTATTTGATACCAGCAATTTTATATTCAAGTTCTGGTTAAGTATGAGATTTTTATGGGAGGAAAAGATATAACTTTTTAAATAATTAACCAAATGGGGAAGTACCATTCGCTAATTTTCATTTTTGAGCTTGTCCTAGCCTAGGGATATGTATTAAGATATTCTGAGCAGCTGCAGTGGGCTTCAGGACCCAGGGCTACAGTTCTCTCCCATGTCCTATGCTGCTGTGGCACTGGGTGGGTTATTCACATTAAATAAGTACATTATTTTGTGGTGCTGAGGAACTGAATCCAAGGCCCCGTGTGCTGCAGGAATTCTCTCTATCTGAGCGTATGTTATCTCAATGGTCAACTTTAGAGTCTTTTGTCAGATACGTGGAGGGATAGCCATATGTACAGTTCACGTGACAATGGACAGGTGATATTATTTCTCTTGCCTCAGTTACTTTGTCTCAAAACAAGGAAAAGAAAAGTTCTCTGTAAGGAGGATGTAATGTTATGGGCCAAGAATTACAGCATCTGGAAGGTTGAGCTGATGCAGAACTGTCACAAGATTGAGGCCAGCCTGGTTTGAAGGACACCCCACAGTAAAACAGCAGCATCTACCCTCCCCCCACACACAAAAGTTGTTTTTATTTAATCTATCAATTGTTTAGAATAAAGCAGTTTACTAGCATTGGCATGCACTTATTTTTTTTTTAAATGTAAGCTCAACTGTTTTTGTTCTGACTAAAGAGTGAACACTCAATTAAGACAGTTTACAACCCCTATAATTCAGGAGACTATCACATATCATAGGTATCTAGCCAATTAAAAGCACCTAGAGAAAACAAGCAAAAGGGCACAGTACACACTGATTAGTTCTTTGATAACTATTTCTCAGTTAAAAGATTCACAATTTGATCCTTTAGAATTTAAAATTTACACACTGGAGAGATGGCTCTGTGGTTAATGGCACAAGCTACTCTTGGAAAGGAACCAGTTTAGACTCCCAGCACTCACACAGTGGCTCACATCCATCTGTAACTTCAGTTCCAGAGGATCTAACACCCTCTCCTGGCCTTCTTAAGCATGAATGCACATACATTCAGGCAAACACTCATACACATAAAATAAATAAGAAAAAGTTTGGGGTCAGGTCTTGTGGCACATACCCCTAATCCCAACATTCAGGAGGTGGAAGCAGGAGGGACCACAACTTTGAAACCAGTGTGGGATACCCATAGAATCTCAAAAGCAATTAAAATAAAAAGTGCTGGGAACGCACCCAGGAACTGAGCTGTAGAATGCTCATCTAGCATACAGAAGAGTTCCTGTGCTCAGTCCCCAACAAAACAACAACAACCCATTAAACTTCACAAACAGAAGGAATATGCTTGGTCAGAGGTACTCGGGAAGCCTCAGCACAAAGAATCAGTGTACTCTGTGGCGGGGGAGGTGCTGCTTGCGAGCATTGCTTCTCTCTTCCCACATGTAAGGACGCTCTCAGAACCAGCAAGGCCTCAAAGTCACTAAAGTCAGAGATGCAAGGAAAGAAACAGTGATGTGAACCACAAGGGCTATCTGTAAGTACAACCAAGAGTCTAGGCAGGAGGACGGCGAAAGGAATAGTAAGTCTGGAGACACAAAGTCAGCCTTAAAACTGATGCCTGCCGAGAGCTGTGGACGGCAATGATTATGTAAGAATTTGTCCTGTTCTTAGAAGACATGCTGGGGGGCTTAGAAAGCTTCATCTCATCAAGATATTCTCAAATGCTTTAGGAAACTCATAGTACATACATGATACATATACACATACATACATACATACATACATACACATACGTATATGTATACATATATACATACATACACATATGTACATGTATACATATATACGTACATACACACATATACGTATATGTATACATACATATACACATACATACACATATACATACACATACGTATATGTATACATACATATATACAGACATACATATATACATACATATATACATAATGGAGGAGGTTAGAGAGATGAAAGGAAGGAGAGGGAGGAGAAGAGGGGGAGAAGACGGCAAAAAGCAAAGGGCTGGTAAATCTGAACGATGCATATATGGAAATGCTGATTTATTAAGATAATTTTTACAAATTTTCTGTTTTAAGTTTGAAATCATTTCTAAATAAAGCCATAGGTTTAAGATTTGAGACTAGTAAGACGTTCTTTCAACAAGCCACTCTACAAAAATCCCCTAAGAAGAAAAAGCGGAGACCACGGCATCTGAATTTTCCAGTCACTCATTCAACCACAGGTCCCAGTTTATCACCATAGAAATGAGGCAAGTTACCATGCTGTCCTCCTGATGTGACACCCACCCAACAGGTTAATCACAAAGAAGTCCCCAAAAAGCATATACCAAAGAGGATGCCCTGAAACCAACCTGGACCAGTAGGAAAAAGTCAAAGGCTTGCGAGACAGAGAAAAAAAGGCATGGTAAGGATATAAAATGCTTGTCTTGGATTGAGGCAAAACCAGCTACAACAGATGTGATTTTGACAACATGGAGAATTTTAAATGTGAATATGATGAGGGACACCACACTACTATAGCAGTGTCAAGAAATCCCTGGGTCACACAGAGTGACCAGAACCCTCTGATAGTGTACAAGTACTGAAAGATAAGTAAGCGTGACCTTCGAAGTTACTTCAGATTGCTGAGGGTTGTCTTCCTGCAGCACGCATGACCTCTCTTGCTCTTAAAACATACCTTTCCCAGAATGCTGATAGCACAGGCCATTCCAACTTGTCCAACACCTACAACAGTAATCTTATTGTTCGGGGTAGCTGCTTCCTCTTCCGCGACTGGGGCAATCAGCTTTTCCTTAAGGGTTGCCATGTTGCCTACAAGAAAAAGGTGATCAATGCATTTTCCAGGAGTGGAATCTGAGTAAGAAACAGCCTAAAACGACAGAGCTTCAATAGCAGAGTAAAGTGCAGCGCAACAAGGAACCTCAGGGTGGTCTAAACACAGAATGCATTTGCGGGAACCACATCACACCTAATGGACGATTTAAACACAGGAAAATTCTCTAGGAGCTTAAAATAAAAGTTCTTCCCCTGGGCAGAGAACTCCAAGCACGCAATTAAGTTGCCATCATCACTCCTATGGCCTTTTTTGTTATAATCGCTCATTACTGGCTAAAGGGTAGGGACATTTGTACTTAAATAAGCTAGTTCTTTCCATTGTCCCTATAAGAAATTTATATACCACCATGTTAACTGGCTAACTTATATTTATAGCTTTTCATAAGCAAACAGAAATGACTATAATTCCCATTATAAATAATTACTTTCACTCTGGGTTGGCAAAGTCTGAGTTTTGTGCTTTAAATCTCATGAAACGTTCACTGCCCTCCTCACAAGTTTCTCCTTCACGAGCAAGTATCAAATTTAGTAACCTATGCTGATTACTTTGTTGCTCTTTAGCTTAGCTTATCACAGCTGAGGTCCTGGTCATCATCCTGTTCATAGCCCATCCTGTTCTTCCTACAGCCGTTTTTCACTTTTAACCCCTGAAGAGCTAAGTGGCAAAACCTGGCTTTGCTAACTGCTGTGTGAAGACCCCTTAGTTGTCCTGAAGAAAGTAGCTGGAGTCAATCACGACTATTGTAGTCTGTAGCTTGTTAGTTTATTTTAAACCGTTTCTCCAAACTGTACCACGTCAGGGGTTATTTTGCCTTAGAGAATCACATTTGCAGCTTCCTGGTGGACACAAAGACAAGTGCCTCCAAAGGGCTGGGACAAAGCACTTAAAGCGAATTCAAACAGACCCAGTATTTTAAGCGGCTTCAACAGAGCGGCTGACTTTCTCCAGTAAGAAAAGCACAGCCTCCCCAACCCCTGCCCACACCAAGTTTATTTTTGTTAGTTGGCTTAAAATCTGTTAGGTAGGTTCCAGAAAGCATTAGGAAGGTCTGGAATCCCAGCATTTAGGAGATGGAGGCAGGAGGATCAGGGGAGGTCAAGGTCAGACTCCATCACACAGTTACACAGTGAAATCTTGAGATTCCTGAGAGCCTGTCGTGTGTGTGTGTGTGTGTGTGTGTGTGTGTGTGTGTGTGTGTGAATTCAGAAAGGGAAAGCAGAAGCTTTCTCCAGCTGGGCTGTCCTGAAAACATCTTAAATTGGTTTGGGTAATTTCAAAAGCGACACTGTTGAAGATCCAGCAAGCACAGGCAAACTCAGCTGTGTAGAGAAAAGTACACATTCTCCTCCCAGCGCCCAACAGTGATAGAAAATGAGAAGGAAATGGTAAGCATTGTAGCAGGTCTGGCGTCAAATCAGAGAAGTGACTGTAGGGAGAGATAAATTGGAACAAACAAACAAAACACGCCAGTCTCAGGGTCCCTCACATCCCCTCCTCTGCGGACTTGAACAAGCAAGCGTCAGGGACTAAGATCCCCTCCGTAGAGGATCTTTCTGTTAAAGCCCAGGTTTTTCCTCTAATTCCCCCAGGTTGGGGCTCACTCGGTTTGCGGCCCACAAGCCACCTTTCCTGTGCAAAGCAGGTCGCGAGGGAGGCAGCAGCGCGCACATCTCGGATAAAGTCTCCGGAGGCAAGTCTAGGCCTAGCACACTGAACGCAAGAAGTAAACAAAACCTTCGTGCATCTAAGAGGCACAGCAAGTGCAGATACCCGGCTGCGGGGGGCGGGGGAGGGGCGAGTGGGGGCAGCGTGAGCCGGGGATGAAGCCGGACGTTTACGACTGAACTTTGCTTTATCCCCATTCCTACAATCGCAAGGAACTTAATCCATCACTAGGTGCAAGGCCTTCTAACCTTCACAGGACCCACTTGTCCCGCCGGATTCCCTGGCACTTAGGCGCGTGCCCCCAGCCTGCACCCCAGCAGGTGAGTGCTGTGTCCGCCACCTGCCGACCAAGGACTTGGTGGGACTAGGCTCACTTACGCGTGTGCAAGTCTCTCTCCCGATAGCACACAGGCCTGGGACCAGCCTGCAGGATGCAGATCGAGCCCGGAGTTCAGCCCCAGCCTCCTGCCCACCTCTGCTCCCTGGGCTGGACGCCAAAAACCGCCAGGCAGAAAGAGGCTGGAGCTGAGATGCTCAGAGGCAAAGGCCCCAGAAGATGGATGTGTCCTAGCTCCTTCCTCCTGTTCCGCCAAACAATTACGCCTCTTCGCTACCCCCAACATACACCCTGCTGTTCTGTGAGTCAGGCTTTAGGGTCCTGGGTCAAACCTACCGGACAAGAAGAGACTCTGCCTCGCGCTGAGGAAGGAAAACCACCGCAAAGTCAGCAGACTGCACCGCCGAGCCTAGATCTGCAAGGAGGAGGAGATGGAGGAGGCGGGGCCGCTGCCCTCCAGCCTCCTAGCTTTCTCTATTGTGATTGGAAACCCGAGCTGGGTCTACCACTCCCCTCGGCTCGCTCAATCCCCTTCAAGGACAAGGCTGCTGTAAGCACACGCTCACCCCCGCTCCCTCTCTAAAAGTTGGAGGTCACCTTCTGGCAGCCGCGGCATTCTCCCAGCTTGAGGTCTGGCTCTCCCTGTGGCAGTCGTCGCCTAAACCTGCCTCTCAGGCCTTTCTGGATCTTCCCCATCTTGCGCAAATAGAAATCTATGTCTAGATTGCATTTAGACTCAACTTTAGACCAGTCTCCTCGGTTAAGATGCTGCTGCTGGTCCATGCCTCAGAAAGACCCCCGGTGATTCTGAGCTCTCTCAGAAATCACGTCAGAGCAAGGGTCTTGCGCAGGCCTGGAATCCCAGCAGTGGGGATGCGGAGTCCAGAGGAAAGCCAGGAGTTTGAGACTAGCCTGGACCCTCCTGTTAAGAGTCTGTTTCAAACAAAAACTAAAAACAGAAGAAAACTAAATATTGCCCGTCATGTTCAAGTTCCTTCCATAAGACATTGACCTCCCCTCTCCCCACACCTGCTTCAACTAATAGCTGCCTACAAAAACCAAGGGGCCTGATTTTTGCACTTCACAGTTCTGTCTTCCCACATGCTCAGTAATTTCTCACCCAGCCCAGAGCCTGGTTCCTTACTCCTGCGTTCTAAAGATTGGGCCAGCTGTGTTTTCTTAAGATAAATTGTTTCCCCATTCTCTAGCAATCTTACTGACTCCAGTGTGTGAGAATTTGCCTTTTGTTTTCTCTAAGTGTGTAGATCTTATGAAGGACTGCTAACTCTATAAATAGAGCTCTCCTCTGCCAAGCCCTGAAGATGGAAGTAGGAATAGAACGCGGTGTTCACGGGGTGCTTCTAGGCCCAATTTATTGAAAATCTGGGGGAGTCCTGGTGGAGCTAGCACAGTACTGGGGAACAGAAGGAACGCTGAAATTGAAGAAAAGGAGCTGCTTTGATATAAAGGTGTTAGCAGCTGGGGTGGGGAGCAGCGGTAGGGCGCATGCTTAGTGTGTGCCAAGTCTTGGGGTTTGAATCCCAGTAGTGAGAGAATAGCGGCCCCAGGAGCTGGAGAGGGGATGATAACTGGAAGATGTTAGGGAAGGAATGCACTTTTTCTTCCTGGAAGAAAGGTACCTGCTAAACATCTAGGCAATGCGGGCTAAAGAAAGTAATGCAAATCATTCCTAGGGAGGGAGATTGGTTATAGAATTGAATACGAATATAAGAAAAAAGTTTTCAAAAGCGACAAAGGGCTTTTCCTTTCTAAAAGTAGGTACTGAGAACTTTCCTATGTGACGAGTGCTGCTCCAGGGACTAAGGCACATGAGATGAGACGCTTGCTAATGGGCTGTGCACCCTCATAGAGGATGAAAGACACAAACAAGTGAGTAAAACAGGAGACAAAGAATGTGCTCACGAGCAGGCATGGTGCCTTTAGTCCCAGAACTCAGGAGGCAAAGACAGGCACCTCTTTGAGTTCAAGGCCAGTCTGGTCTACAGAGCAAGTTCTAGGACACCAAGGCCTACACAGAGAAACTCTGTGCTCCCCTTCCCCACTCCCTAAAAAAGAATGTGATCATGGTACAGCTCCTCAGAGCACTGTGAGCAGGGTTCATGAAGTGCAGGGATGAAGCCTAAAGCTGAGGGTGGAGGTATCACTTGTGCAACAAACGCCTGTGGTGTGTGTGCATGTGTGTGTGTGTGTGTGTGTGTGTGTGTGTGTGTGCTTGCTTTTCCTCTTGTGTCTTAAAAAGGTAATCTCCCATTGTCAGAGCAGCATGTTTTAGAACCAGGGCAGTTGAACTGGAACAAAAACACTTTGGAGACCATCTAATCCAAGTATATAGCTGCCACGTATCCTAGTGCGTGTAAACTACACGTATCTTAATACTTGTGTAAACTACAGGTGTGGGAGCTGACACAGTTTGCCCTGAGATGCAGATCGAATCATGGTTACCAGAACCTGAGTCCAACAGAGAGGAGGTGGGAAGGGATGGAGGTGACAGGCACATGACCCAAACAGAAGAACTTTGAGGTAGGACCCCACCTTAGAAGAGTCGCTTGTGCTTAGAGTTTTCTTTTTTAATCCAGGCTGTTAGACACAGTCGTTGTGTTCTGACCCCTGAGCTACCCCCTCTCACCATAGACTCTTTCAGGCCATGTCTCTTTCTAATCTGTTACGTTCCATAAGAAAAAGCCAGGAAGGAGAATCCCGGGCAATTGGCAAGCGGGGTCATGAGTGCTAACATCGCAAAGGAACTGTATTTAGATTCGGGTTGCCTACCTGTTTCTTGAGAAGAGGTTCAATATGGGCTGGTTATTTTCCTTCTTAGAAGGGAGCTAGTGATAGTGTGAATTATACAGCAGTTTTAAATTGACTCAGGATGTTACCTAGCTGTTAGGGACAAAGCTGGGCCCTGGCAGCCCTAACAAAGTAGGTATGAAAACCTGTTCTCAATAATTAAAGAGACCAGTTAAACAGGGCAATTAAAACAGAGAAAGGGGAGTTATCCAAAGAAGCCACACTGGGAAAAACAACAATTCCAGTTCCTTGGGGAGGAAGGGGGGAGGGGGTCCCTCCCTCGTTTCAGTGGTCTGACAGCCAAAGGGAGGGGCACAAGGGTCCTTCCCTAGCTCCTCTTCCATGTATCTCCCATAGGCAACATGGGAGCGCCTAGCTGTGTTGAGATTGTAGCTCATCTTCTGTATAGCTCCCGCAGGCTACATGGGGGCACCTAGCAGGACAGAGACTGGCCTGCGTGTGCTCTAAGCCGAGCTAGGGTTTAGAAGTGAGGCTCTTGATAAAGCATTTCTGGACTCCAATCAACCAGTGTGCATAGAACCGAATTTGTCTCTCCTTGAGGGTCTGAAAGCAGCAGCGGACACACATTTGGTGAAGAAAGCCATTTTTGTGTGCAAAAGTGTGTGCAGCAATTACATACTAAATTTTGCTCTCTCTGTTTTGGAAAAAGAAGTGAACCTTTGTTTGTTTGCTTGTTTATTTGTTTTCTAATGTGTGGAGCTGGCGTTGGAACCCAGGTCTTCCACGTGCTAAATTGTGGACCCGTGTTGTCCACTTTGTGGAGTAACTGTGGTTATGGGCAGGAGACCTCCCTCCCCAACAAGAGTAGCCTTTTGGCCTTCCACCTCAAAGAAGCCAGGTGGTGGAGCACGCCTTTAATCCCAGCACTCAGGAGGCAGAGACAGGTGGATCTCTGTGAGTTTGAGTCCCACCTGGTCTACAAGAGCTAGTTCCAGGACAGACTCCAAAGCTACAGAGAAACCCTGTCTCGAAAAACAAAAAACAAACAAACAAAAAAAAAAAAAAGGTTGGGGGGCGGGGTTCTTTTTAGATTCTCACCTGATACCCCTGCTGTGATTAATTCTGTTACCTCTGCTTGAGCTCTTAGGAGAGACTCCACAGCTGGAAGGAGGCCCTTACCCACGCTGGTGTGGGGCTTCTCTGTGTTCCAGCTCTCTGGGGGTAACTTCCACACCCACAGGCACCCCCTCACCCATGTTCCTGTAAGTAAACTCAGGTGTTCACAAGCTGGACTGGGCGGGGTCCTTCCTCTGGTCTTTCATTGGTGGGGATCTGGGGTGAACACGTGTTTGTTCCCGCCTCCCCAGGGCAGGTAAAACAAGCCAGGCGGAAAATACCTGGAGGAGTGAGTCACCTGCCAGGCCGTGACGTCTTAGCTTTCCATGAAGGTGAATTTCCAGAGAGGCGTGCTCCCTCCCGCAGAGCTGATGAGGAAATACCTTTCTCAGAATTTCACACAGCATGGTTCCAGAAAACTGAAGTCGGAGGCATTCTCCCTGAACGTGTTTAAGTCTTCCTTGTCTAAAGGCCCTGAAGTCATCCACATAGCACCTCCCAGGACCCAGGAGCCGACCAGCATGAACAAGGTGTTCTCCAGAAGGACACAGCCTCTTATTCGTCCCAGTCTCACCTGCCTGCTGTCACGTTACACTGACCCTATTCAATTATTTGAATTATTTGTGCCAATCAAAAAGATTGTTCCAAACGCGAATGACCATGGGGATTCATAGGGACATAGATTTTGCTTTGTAAACGTTAATATTTATTGTTGTTGTTCTTTCACAGTGGCCATGCATCTGGTGTTGTCTGTATTTTGTGCTTCAGTCTGGAAACGGATGCTGAAGCCCTACAGGGCAAGCCTACAAGCTTTGTGCAGATCTCACAATTTTATATGCATTCGACGCTTACCGAAATAGTTCACTTGCATTGAACAGTTTGTGCAATGGACATAGCATAATTTCTAGGTAAAAAATAAATATACAAATACTCAAAATATATAAACTATATCCCACTCTCTTTCCTCCTCTTTCTCTGTCTCCTATCCTTTTTTCCTTTCCCTTCCTCCTCTCCTCTCTCTCCTCCCTCCTCCTCCCAGGAGTTTTATTAAACACCCTCTATTGAGCTCCTGGCCTCTCTTTCTAGGTACTTGTGAATAGACTTGGCTCACCTTAACTCTCACTGGTTAAGCTCAGGTGAGTGATTTGCATATCAGGGCAACCTGAGCCGGGTGTTTCCACTGTGTTCCTCCAGCCAGGAGGAGGAAAGGCCATCTGAGGGGATTCATTCACACTTACAAATGTACCCTGGTGAAGAGCAATGGGGGCCGGGGGGGGGGGGGGGGGGGGGGTGGGGGGGTGGGGGGAGTGGAGAGCACAGGCTGCCCCAGGCCCCAGGTTTGAGCTTCAGAACTGCTTAAATTAGGTGTGGTAATGTGCTTCTGAATCCGGTCAGTCAGGGCAGGGCAGGAGGCAGAGGGGTCAGAAGCTCAAGGTCATCCATAGCTACCTAGCAAATTTGAGGCCAGCCTGGTCCTAGGGATCCTGTCATGAGGACTGCTGTTTTGTTAAAAGACACAAAGTTGTATCAGTGTCCTCCTTGTTCCCACATTCCCTGCATGTGGATTTTTATGTGCAATGAATCCTTTTCTTGTCGCTCACTTGGTTAGTAACTCTTGTTTCCCTCTTTTCAGCATCCTGAGGGCTGCCTTTCTGGCACATTCCTATATGGAAACAGCAGAGTGCAGAATTAGGACTTACTTTGATGTTGAAATTGATCACCATAAACTCCCCCCTTATCCTTCCTGGCTTGGGTGTGAGGTCTCCTAGCATCTGCCAGGACTCTCTGTACAGCCAGCCTCTCACCCCCTCTATCCGTGCTGCGTGGGCTGCTGCCCATAACTATGGCATCAACAACGTATTACCCTCGATTTCCACCTCCTGCCCAGACCCCTCTCCTAAGCCCTCAGGTCTCTATTTCCAGCTGCCTCCTGGACAAATCTGCCCGGAAGCCTTATAGGTGCCCCACACTCCACATGTCCATGTCAGGGGCCAACCTGCAAACTTCCTTTTGGCAGCTGTCAGAAGCTGAGAATACCTCAGCCACAAATAGTTTATTTTGGATGTATATTATTTTAAGTATTAAATTAAGTGTGGGGGATGGGTAGAGAGATGGTTCAGTGGTTAAGAGTACCTCCTGTTCTTGCTCAGGACCTGGATTCGGTCCCCATCTACTACACTGCCCCTCACAACCATCTGTTACTCAAGTTCCAGGGCCTCCAATGCCTCTTCTGACCTCCAATGGTTTCTGCATGCACATGGTACACAGACATACACCTAGGTGTGCACACTCACACTCATGTACATAAGATTAAATAACATTTAAACAGTATTCAATATGACAAGCTTAAGATGCCTCGGCTCCTTAGGAGAAAGGTTCACTCAAGCTGGTGGCATCAAGGGAGAGAACTAAGCAGCTGGGGATTGGGTGGGAAAATTTCTTTTCCATTGTGTTGTCTTTTGGCGACTTTTATACACATGTGTACGCAAAGAATAATAATTAAAAATAATGAAGAGTCAAAATTAAATTTTTTGTGTGTATCTGTGTGTATGTGTATGGACATGTATGTGTGTGTATAGGTTTGTGCCTGTGCATGCTTGTATGTGGTGTGTGCGTGCGTGTGCATCTACATGTGTGTGCATGCAGAGGTCAGAGGACACCTTTCAGGAGTTGGTCCTCTCCCTCCACCAAGTGAATCCTGATGATGCCACTCAGGAGGTCAGGCATGATGATGGAGAGTGTGTTTACCAGCTGAACCATCTCACTGGCCCTGAAAAATCTTTGTTATAAAAACCCACTTATGCAAACCACTTGAGTACCCAGTCACATGCAAGTGTCTCTCCCTTTCAGGAAACCATTAGTTATTCATAGGCACTGGCTCCTTCTGAACAAGGTCTCTCGGCTACTGTGGGATTGTTTCAAATTCAAAGATTTCCTTCCTGAATACACACCCACTAAATATATATGTCGTGTGTGTGTGTGTGTGTGTGTGTGTGTGTGTGCATGTGTGTGCCTGGGTATCCACACAGAGTCATTTCACACGTCTCTGGCTGCCAGACCCTGTTCAGACCTTACAAGACAGATGGAGTTTCAGAGCTCAGGTTGCTTGGAATCCACAGACATGTGAATTCATGTGCTAATGATCTAGGGCTATCTCGGGCATCAAGCTTGTGCATAGAGAGGACTTGAGCCAGAGAGGTTTTCTAAGGTTGATGAGAAAGGCGGAGAGGAGAGAAACAGGAACAGAAGCAAAGTGAATGGAGTCAAGAGTGTCTGACATGAGCCAGTCAAGATGAGCAGAGCAGGGAAGCTGAGGATGTCATGGGGGGTACAGATCTCTCTAATGCAGTAGCTCAGGCTGTGTGTGCATGCGTGTGTGTGTGTGTTTAAACTAAGGAATGTCTTCTTGTGTTCTCAATATTCCATATTGCCTGAAAAATGTAGTTTATCTTTACACAGTCTAAAAGCATACCCACAGATGTGTGGCTCCTGATCTTTCCTACCTTCGTGACTCTCAGACCCATTAAGCATCTGGGTTTTATACAATTGGTGCACAAATACGTGTGTGCATTTTTGAATAAAGGGACTCAGACATCTCATCAGTGCTCCCCTGCCCCCCTCCCCACATGCACACACACTCAAGACACAGATCCTTCTGCGTAAATGATTATGTTATAAGACCTCTCAGACACATACTCCAGCCATTCCCAAGCACTGGCCCTCAGCAGACAGTGTGGACCCCACTTTGCCCATCTGAATACACTGATTAGGTTTTTCTGGGGCAGATTGTATCTGGTAGATACTGGATTAATCCATGTAAACCTTGTATTTGATGATATTTAGGGCCACAGAGTTACATGGTACAAACCGCTGTTATTTTGTTGTTGTTTCTTGGATGAAGTCTCACATAGCCTAGGCTGGTCTTGAACTTACCATGTACCAAGAATGTGATTGAATTTCTTTCCGAGCCTCCTTCCTCCACGTTCCACACGCTGTGATTACAGGTGAGGGCAGACTAGGATTACACCAGATGCCCAAACATTTCCTAGACCTTTTCACATGTAGTCAAGAGGGCCTGTACAAACAGCCTGTTAGCATCCTTTAAAAGTCATTGCTAGTGTCCTTTAAAAGTCCCCAGGTAACCCTAAGAAAGAAAACAATGCTGGACGGGTTAGGCCAGACTTTCATTTCCTTCATGTGCAGACAACTCATAGCTTGTTTCTTTGCTGTTCATGGTTTGTTTGGGGGAAGATACTAAACATTTCCTTTGAGGAAGCTGGGTTTTTCTAACATGATGCACACACATAGAAACAGAAAGGAGAATGGCTTATCGAAGGCCAACGATACAAATGAGCATCCAATTAACTGATATGGCTCAGGACTCTGGCCTTGGGTTAGCTCTATCTGCTTTCTGTTTGTGGATCAAAATGTGAGCTCTCAGATGCTGCTCCAATGTCTGCCTGCCTGCTGCCACGCTCCCCATTGTGATGGGGATGTATATGTCAGGGACCAGCCTCGATAAAAATACTTCTTGCCAGGGTAGGGATGTGTGGATCAGAAAAATAGTAAAGAGGATGAAGATGCTAGTAACAATAATACAACAAAAAACATAGGATAGTACTGAGAAGGAGTTCCAGTGAATAGTGAAATTGCCTGCACTTAATTTTCCATACACTTTTATACCCTGATATAAAAGGGCCACAAAAGACTTCTATAACATGATCCAAAGGACAACTCACATAGTTAAATGCTTCAATACTTTGAACCATCAAGCCATTAATCCGTCCATTAGCATTCTGTTGTTTAGGCCAAGTATCCCGAAGGCAGCCACTCCCCAGGTTAAACCTCCAGTTGCAAAAGAAGGATCAGAATTAAGCTTGTACATCCGGACCATCTGCCAGGATGGAGTGGATCTACCTGTGTGTGCCATCTTAATGTCAGAAGAACCAAGTAACCACACCCATCACACCATCAGGATGTGTAGCCCTGGCTGTTGTCAACAATTCCTTCCAAACGAGCTAAAAGTCTCTGACCTTCAGACAAGGTGGAAATAGGCTCACATTTTTGGGCCTCCAAGTGCATAGACAGACCCTTCTTTCTATCAGTTGCCTTAGTCATGATGATTTATGACAGAAATTGAAAAGTAGCCAAGGGACACACTGCAGGATGACTCAACTATTTTAAATGCAAATGTGGATGACTGCTATGAGAAGATATGGTGGCAGTCTGGTGAAAGATGGTCACAATGGGCTGATGAGGCTGATTCTCTGGAGACGAGTGAGGCTACCTCATCCTACACCCGTGATCTGAATGCTTGTATGTCTGTATAGACATACTAAATATGTCATGCTGTACTCATTAGCTTTCATAAAGAAGAACAAAAACGGGACTGGGATGTAGCTCACATGGAAGACTGTTTGCTCAACATATACAAAGCCCTGGGTTTCATTCATAAATTGTAGGAGAACACTGCTCATTCGTTTCCTGACTGCCCAGACCCGAAATAATCACACAGAAACTTTATTAATTAAAACACTGTTTGACCTATTAGCTGAGGTTTATTAGCTTAGGTGTAACTAACTCTTACATCTTAAATTAACCAATTTCTATTATTCTGTGTGTTCCCACAAGGCTGTGGCTTATTGGGTAAATTTCTGGCATGGGTTTCCTTCGGCTGCTACATGGTGTCTCCCAGGCTCTGCCTTCTTTTCTCATCCATCTTTGCTTGAAATTTCCATATTGCTCTATTCTTCCCTGCCATAGGCCCAAGGCAGATTCTTATTTTCTTTTTAATTTTTTATTGAGAAAAAGAAAAAAAAGTTTCTGCCTCCTCCCAGCCTCCCATTTCCCTCCCGCTCCTCCCACCCTTCTCCCCCTCCCCCCACTCCTCTCCCCCTCCCTCTCCAGTCCAAAGAGCAGTCAGGGTTCCCTGCCCTGTGGAAAGTCCAAGGACCTCCCCCCTCCGTCCATGTCTAGGAAGGTGAACATCCAAACTGGCTAGGCTCCCACAAAGCCAGAACATGAAGTAGGATCAAAACCCCGTGCCATTGTCCTTGGCTTCTCATCAGTCCTCATTGTTCGCCATGTTCAGAGAGTCCAGTTTTATCCCATGCTTTTTCAGTCACAGTCCAGCTGGCCTTGGTGAGCTCCCAATAGATCAGCCCCACTGTCTCAGTGGGTGGGTGCACTCCTCGTGGTCCTGACTTCCTTGCTCATGTTCTCCCTCCTTCTGCTCCTCATTGGGACCTTGGGAGCTCAGTCCGGTGCTCCAGTGTGTCTCTGTCTCTATCTCCATCCATCACCAGATGAAGGTTCTATGGTGATATGCAAGATATTCGTCAGTATTGCTATAGGTTAGGGTCACTTCAGGTTCCCTATCCTCAGCTGCCCAAGGAATTAACTGGGGACATCGCCTTGGGCTCCTGGGAGCCACTCTAGGTTCAAGTCTCTTGCCAACCCTAAGGTGGCTCCCTTAACTAAGAATTGTGGTTTCGTGCTCCCCTATCCAACCTTCCTTTATCCCAATCCTCCTGTTTCCCCAAGTTCCCCCCATCCTCCCCTTCTCACTTTTGTCTCCCCATCTCCCCTTACCCCCATCCCACCCCATCCCCAAGATCCCAGTTTTCTCCCCGGCAATTTTGTCTACTTCCCATAGCCAGGAGAATAACTATATGTTCTTCTTTGGGTTCACTTTCTTATTTAGCTTTTTTAGGATCACCAATTATAGACTCCATGACCTTTATTTATGGCTAGAAACCACTTATGAGTGAGTACATCCCATGTTCATCTTTTTGGGTCTGGGTTACCTCACTCAGGATAGTGTTTTCTATTTCCATCCATTTGCATGCAAAATTCGAGAAGTCATTGTTTTTTACGGCAGCATAGTACTCTAATGTGTATATATTCCACACTTTCTTCATCCTTTCTTCCATTGAAGAACATCTAGGTTGTTTCCAAATTCTGGCTATTACAAATAATACTGCCATGAACATAGTTGAACAAATGCTTTTGTCATATGATAGGGCATCTCTTGGGTATATTCCCAAGAGTGGTATTTCTGGGTCTAGGAGTAGGTTGATCCCGAATTTCCTGAGAAACCGCCACACTGATTTCCAAAGTGGTTGCACAAGTTTGCATTCCCACCAGCAATGGATGAGGGTACCCCTTTCTCCACAACCTCTCCAGCAAAGGCTATCATTGGTGTTTTTGATTTTAGCCATTCTGACAGGTGTAAGATGATATCTCAAAGTTGTTTTGATTTGCATTTCCCTGATTGCTAAGGAAGTTGAGCATGACCTTAAGTTTCTTTTGGCCATTTGAACTTCTTCTGTTGAGAATTCTCTGTTCAGCTCAGTGCCCCATTTTTTAATTGGTTAATTAGCATTTTAAAGTCTAGTTTCTTGAGTTCTGTATATATTTTGGAGATCAGACCTTTGTCTGTTGTGGGGTTGGTGAAGATCTTCTCCCAGTCAGTGGGTTGCCTTTTGTCTTAGTGACAGTGTCCTTTGCTTTACAGAAGCTTCTCAGTTTTAGTAGGTCCCATTTATTCAATGTTGCCCTTAATGTCTGTGCTGCTGGGGTTATACATAGGAAGCGATCTCCTGTGCCCATCTGTTGTAGGGTATTTCCCACTTTCTCTTCTATCAGCTTCAATGTGTTCGGACTGATATTGAGGTCTTTGATCCATATGGACTTGAGTTTTGTGATGGTGATAGATATGGGTCTATTTTCATTCTTCTACAGGTTGACATCCAGTTGTGCCAGCACCATTTGTTGAAGATACTTTCTTTCTTCCATTGTATACTTTTAGCTCCTTTATCGAAAATGAGGTGTTCATAGGTTTGTGGGTTAAAATCTGGGTCATCTATACGATTCCATTGGTCGACATCTCTGTTTTTATGCCAGTACCACACTGTTTTCATCACTGTAGCTCTGTAATAGAGTTTGAAGTCAGGGATGGTAACGCCTCCAGAAGATCCTTTATTGTATAAGATTGTTTTGGCTATCCTGGGTTTTTTGTTTTTCCATATAAAGTTGACTATTGTCCTCTCAAGATCTGTGAAGAATTTTGATGGGACCTTGATGGGGATTGCATTGAATCTATAAACTGCCTTTGGTAGAATTGCCATTTTTACTATGTTGATCCTCCCAATCCAAGAGCAAGGGAGGTCCTTCCATTTTCTGGTGTCCTCTTCAATTTCTTTCTTCAATGCCTTAAAGTTCTTGTCAAATAGATCTTTCACTTCCTTGGTTAGAGTTACCCCAAGATATTTTATGCTGTTTGTGGCTATCGTGAAAGGTGAAGCTTCACTGATTTTCCTCTCTGCTTCCATATCCTTTGTGTATAAGAGGGCGACTGATTTTTTTGAGTTGATCTTATATCCTGCCACATTACTAAAGGTGTTTATCAGCTGTAAAAGTTCTTTGGTGGAGTTTTTGGGGTCGCTTATGTACACTATCATATCATCTGCAAATAACGAAAGTTTAACTTCTTCCTTTCCAATTCGAATTCCCTGACCCCCTTATGTTGTCTTATTGCTATTGCTAGAACTTCAAGCCCTATATTGAAGAGGTATAGAGAGAGTGGACAGCCTTGTCGTGTTCCTGATTTTAGTGGGATGGCTTTGAGTTTCCATTTAATTTGATGTTAGCTGTCGGCTTGCTGTAAATAGCTTTTATTTTATTTAGGTATGACCCTTGTATCCCTAATCTCTCCAAGACTTTTATCATAAAGGGATGTTGAATTTTGTCAAATGCTTTTTCAGCATCTAATGAAATGATCATATGGTTTTTTTCTTTCAGTTTATTTATATGAAGGATTACATTGATAGATTTTCGTATGTTGAACCAGCCCTGTATCTCTGGGATGAAGCCTACTTGATCATAATGGATAAATTTTCTAATGTGTTCTTGGATTCGGTTTGCCAGTATTTTGTAGAGGATTTTTGCGTCGATGTTCATGAGTGAGATAGGCCTGTAATTCTCTTTCTTGGTTGAGTCTTTGTGTGGTTTTGGTATTAGAGTAACTGTAGCTTCCTAAAAGGAATTTGGTAATGACTCTTCTGTTTGTATATTGTGAAATACATTAAGGAGTATAGGTATTAGGTCTTCTTGGAAGTTCTGGTAGAATTCTGCATTGAAACCGTCTGGTCCTGGGCTTTTTTTGGTAGGGAGGTTTTTGATAACAGCTTCTAATTCTTCGTGACTAACAGGTCTATTTAGATTGTTCACCTGGTCCTGGTTTAACTTTGGTATATGGTATTTATCTAAAAAAGTGTCCGTTTCTTTTACATTTTCCAGTTTTGTGGCATACAGGCTTTTGTAGTAAGATCTAATGATTCTCTGAATTTCCTCTGTGTCTGTGGTTATGTCCCCCTTTCCATTTCTGATTTTATTAATTTGCATATTCTCTCTCTGCCATTTGATTAGTTTGGATAGAGGTTTATCAATCATTTTGATTTTCTCCAGGAACCAGCTTTTTGTTTTATTGATTCTTTGGATTGTTTTCTGTGTTTCTATTTTGTTGATTTCAGCCCTCAGTTTGATTATTTCCAGTCTTCTACTCCTCCTAGGTGAGTCTGCTTCTATTTTTTCTAGAGCTTTCAGGTGGGCTGTTAAGTCCCCAATGTGTGCTTTCTCTGTTTTCTTTAAGTGGGCACTTAGTGCTATGAACTTTCCTCTTAGGACTGCTTTCATAGTATCCCATAGGTTTGAGTATGTTGTTTATTTTCATTGAATTTAAGGAAGACTTTAATTTCTTTCTTTATTTCTTCCTTAATCCAGGTATGTTTCAGTAGTTGACTGTTCAGTTTCCATGAGTTTGTAGGCTTTCTGGGGGTAGAATTGATGTTGAATTCTAACTTTAATCCATGGTGATCTGATAAGACACAGGTGGTTACTAATATTTTTTTTGTAACTGTGGAAGTTTGCTTTGTTACCGAGTATGTGGTCAATTTTCGAGAAGGTCCACGAGCTGCAGAGAAGAAGGTATATTCTTTCCTATTTGGGTGGAATATTCTATAGATGTCTGTTACCAAGGCAGATTCTTTATTAACCAATGGTAATAAAACATATTTACACCATAAAGAGGGGGATCCCATATCAAATGATGTAGTGGTACACATCTGTAACCATAGCACCTATTTAGGAAGCAGAGACTGGAGGATCAGAAGTACCAGGCCATCCATGGCTGCTTAGTGAATTCAAGGCCAGCTTGAACTACCTAAGACCTTGTCTGGAAAAAAGAAAAAGAAAAGAATGGTATGAGAGATCCGACTGCTACACACATCTGTGAAAAGAGCTTCCTTTTAAAAGGTGCGTGAATTCTAAGGCAACTGAACATAAAGAATGGATTATACCTTAAAGATGCTCCGCGAACCATAGATGACTCTGAGTATCTAGGAATCAGAATGCGGTCTATGAGGGTAGTTCTGTGGTAGAATCCATGCTTAGTTTGTTCAAGCCCTGGATTTAATCTCCAGATTCCTATGTCAGGGAATGAATAAAGACCAGACCAGCTTTATTACCATCAAGTTAAAGAAAGCAGGAGTCACGTGTACAGAATCTAATTCTGAAAATGATGCTTTCATGATTTCTGAGAAGATGCACAGGGAAGATCGGAGGACAAAGACAGGAGAGGGGGACCAATCTCAGTGAATACTTGCTGAAGAGCATTTGAAGCAAGGCAGGCACATGGCTTCAGGAAGACTGAAACAGGAGATTTTTGAACAAGGAGACCAAGGTTACAGTATGGAGGTGAGAATGACCGTGGTGAGCTCAGAGGACTTGTGCCTGTCCAGCCAGGGTAGGGATGCAGTTAAGTAGTTTGTACAAGGCTTTATCTGTTAGGGAAGTGTGATAACCAGTTATTTGTTGCCAGGTAACAGATCTATCATGAGCATTGTGGTCACCCGTGTGCATGTCAACAGTCTCATCCTGTGTTTATGCTTGGGCAAGACTCTGAAGAGCTAACACAAAGTAGCAGCACTCCAAAGCTTAGTAAGCCTGGTAAGCAAGGCAAGCATAATTATAGGGACAGAATTAAATTTGAGGTTGGGATACATTACAGCCTAATTGGTAGAGTGCTCACCTAACATATAAGAGATCCTGGGTTTGAGCCCTAGTACCGCTTTAAACCAAGAATAGTGGACATGCCTGCAACTCCAGCCTTGAGAAGTGGAGGCAGGAGGATCAGAAATTGTAGCTTCAAAGTCATCTTTAGCTTCATAGTGAGTTTGAGAACAGCCTAAGCTACAAGAGACTTTGTATATGATATAGGAGGTCATGTTTCAAGCACTTTACATAAAATTCCTCAAATAAAGCTAACCAAACTTAATGTAACTTATTAAAACCATTGAGCTGAATAGCAGCCCCACATGAAAACATTATTAGAAAAATGTGACACCTTGCTAGTTCCAAAGACAATGAACGCCACAATATTTGGAAAAGCAGCTTTAGCCAAAGCTTAAAGACTCTTTTTTGTTGGCAGTGGAGGGTGTGGTTGAGTGGTGGCCCTGAGCTCACTCTAGCGCCAAGCCCCCTTGCTGAACACGCTCTGTGTGGAAATGAGCGGTGGGGAAGCTGTGTGCCATAATGCTCTTAGACACTGCCATCTGCTGGAAGTTTTAGATAGCATGTTTAGCTAGCACATGACACAAGTTTTCTTGTATTTCTTTCTGCTCCTTCCTCTTGTTCTTATTTTGCAGTCCTGGAGATTTAACCCAGGTCCCACCAGGTACCCACAATCTACAACCCTGCTCTTCACCAGCCTTCTATCATGGTTTAACACCGACCATGAATGGGTAATCATGGTCTTTAATGTGAGGCCTCTTCGATTCTGTAACAGCAAGAAGAGCAGATCTATGGTAATCTGTGAGATAGGAAAAGCAGGACTGGGGCTGAATAGACTGCCCGGGGGTTAATTGCACTGGCTGTTCTTTCTGAGGAGCTGGGTTCAATTTCCAGTACCATATGGTGACTTCCAACCATCTGTAACTCCAGTTCCAGGGCATCCAATGCCCTTCTCTGGCTTCCACAGGCCCCAGGCATGTTCATGCTCATGGTACACAAACATAAACAAACATCCCCACAAACACAATAAAAATAAAATTTTAAAAAGAAAGACTGGATTTAGGTTTAGCTTTAAAAATAAAGTAATTCCTTCTTGATTTGATTCTTAGAAGAATATAACACATAAAACCATTTTGCTTTCTTCATTTCAGATCTGGTGTGGGAGGTTTTTCTGTGTATGTGTTGCTTTTATTGGTTAATGAATAAATCTGGCTTAGCAGAATAAAGCAAGGCTGGAAATCCCAGCAGATAGAGGAGGAAAGAAGGTGGAGTCAGGAGATGCCATGTAGCTGCTGCCAGAGGAGACAGATGTTGGAACCTTGCCAGTAGGCTGTGGCCTCATAGTGATGCACAAATTAATAGAAATGGGTTGATTTAAGATGTAAGAGTTATCTAGAAACATGCATAAGCTAATAGGCCAAGCAATGTTATAATTAATATAGTTTCTGAGTGATTATTTGGGTCTGAGAAGCCAGGAAACGAACGAGCAGCCTCTGCCAATACAGATCTGCTCCTTATAATAAAATTAGTGCTCTAGTGTTTACTGAAGATCCAGACTATCCTAGAAAGCAAATATTTTGCTTAGGTTAAAATTCAGTTTAGAATTAAGGCATTTTATAAACACTGCCCTGGATAATGGTAATATATTAAAGGATAAAATATAAATGTAATAATAAAAATGAACCTGGGCCTGGGCCTCATGTTTTAGTTCAATAATGTTGGCTCGACTACTCCACTTGGTTGACCTTGTTTGTTCTGTTGTTGACAAAGAGGTATCTTCATTCACTGATCTCTCAGCTATAGGCTCAGAATAAAAACAATAACTGATTAACATAGCGCCAAAGAAATAGACAAAGCCAACATGTTATGATACTTTGGGGTGGGTGCTAAAAATCAGATCCTGGGCCCTCTCTACACACCAAGCAATCACTCACCCACTGAGCTCCAAGCCCACCCAGCTATCTGATTCGTAATCATGGTTGATACTCCTTTTTAAATGCTGTATGAAATTCAAGTTATAATGAAAGGATATCTTTTCATACCTTCAAGATGTTCCAGCTACCAGATTTATCCTCCTAAGTTCCGTTAACCTGATTTTGGATGGGAGGATGGTTTCTGGGTCATCACTTCTTTGGGAGTGTTCCGTGCTCACCATGCCAGGTGCCGTCCGCTTCCCAGTCAGCTGGGAATCACATGTGGAACTATTTTGGGATCTAAGGGACTATTGATTCTTGCCAAGGTGATGAGAATGGGTACAAAATTATATAAGCATCTGCATGACTCAGCAGTATATGTTGCAATGTGCCCCTTGTCTTGTCCTGTTTATTTTAAGGTCACACATTTCTACAATGGGCCTGAAGCACAAAAGTGTGTGTGTGTGTGTGTGTGTGTGTGTGTATGTGTGTGTCCCTGTGTATGAATACCCAGAGCCATATAATACCACTAGCTTGCTGTTTTCCCTGCTCTTTCTCCCTCATTTACAAATTTCTCAGACATTCCTCTCTATAATCTCTTTTTCTGGATCTAGGCACTTACTTCTGTCACTGTTCATCCGGGAAAATAGTGTGTTTGAGGGATCTTTGACAATGTCTGTTGGCCTTCCACTCTATTGTTGCTGGGGCAGCACACGAAATGAGGGGTTCCACTGCCTTCTGGGTATGTCTTAACCCAAGAAGCTTCACTTCTGTTTCTTATATGCCTCAAAGACAGGCCTTGGAGTCTGGGGTCAGAGGGGATGATGTCATTCACAGTGGGACTAAGGTTTGCTCAGGTGAAACACCCAGCCCCAGGCAGTCAATTGTGGATTTAGATTGACCTTGGGGAGTCAGATCACCATGGACTTAACTGGACTTGATGCACATCATAAATAACAATATTATTGGGAAAAGCACTCAGAAAGCAATTGCTTCCTTTTCTGTCTGAAGTCTTGCACAAATTTTGGGAAACTTCCTGCCACTCTTTTCTCTCAGATATTTATTTTTCTCTCCTTCTCTCTAAACAGAGAACTCACTATAGTCACAAAAGTGAATGTAGCCAGAGTCTTAGCCCAAAACAAGCAAAGCTCTGAGAGGAGATGAGACTGGAGAGGTGGATGTGAACCGGTAGGTATGGATCTTGCTTGGTTTATTGTAAAAATTCACATTTTCTTTTTTATTATGGAGAAGTTGATGTGGGATTTCCCTCTGTATGCTGTGATTACCACTGATTAATAAAGAAACTGCTTTGGGCCTATAGCAGGATAGAACAGAATTAGACGGGGAAAACAAAACTGAATGCTTGGGAAAAGAAGGCGGAGTCAGGAGAAGCCACATAGCCGTGGCCAGGGACAGGTGTGCCAGAAACTTGCCGGTAAACCATGATCTTTGTGGTAAAATATAAAATAATAGAAATGGGTTAACCAAAGATAGAAGAGCTAGCTAACAATATGCTTAAGTGATTGGTCAAACAGTGATTTAAATAATACAGTTTCCAAATGATTATTTTGTGGTCTGGGCAGCCAGGAATGGCCTCTTACAACAGATCAGCACACCAACATGGATAACTACATCCACATAAAAACCTGAGAGAGCTTAAAAAGGAATTCCAAACATAAAAAACCAGGGTTTAGCATAGCTTCTTGCTCTGCTTGCTAGAAGCAAGCAGAGGTATGGCTCCTTTAAGAGAGGTCTCCCTGATTCGGCAGTAGAAACAAAAGAAAAAAAAAGCATGGGTTTGAAAAGGTAGCTTCCTTGTCTGTGCTGCCAGCAAGAACTCTGGCTCTTTTAGGAGGCTAAGTATTTAAATGGGGTTTGTGAGCAGAGTGCTACAATTTGCTTAATGGCAACACAGACCTACTGAAACCCAACTCTGGATCTGGGGTGGAGAGAATGATTCTCAGAGGCAGTTAATGGACCTCTGCCATGTTGGACTGGGCAGAGCCAACAAGCAGTGCCTCAGTGTTGACCCCAGTTATATCTGCTTAGCAAAAAAACAGTGTTTCTGCTCAGAAAATAATTATATATACACAACAGGACAGATTCAGACATAAAAGACCTCTACATGAGACAAAGTGTATTTAAAAAAATGTATGTAGGCTTGGGAAAGAGAAGAAAAATAGTAAAGAGACAGTAAATGTAATATAAAAGATTACAGACAGTCATAGATTAAAGGAATAAAGACAATAAAATGATGTGGGATTCTCCTCTGTATTCTGTGAATACCTTGGTGAATAAAGAAACTGCCCTGGCCTGTTGATAGGGCAGAACTTAGGTAGGTGGGGAAAACTAAACTGAATGCTGGAAGAAGAGAGGCAGAGGCAGAGAGAAGCCACAGAGCTGCTGCTGGAGGTAGATGTCCTGAAACCTTGCTGGTAGGCAATGACCTCGTGGTGACGCACAGATTAATGGAGATGGGTTAAATTTAGATGTAAGAGTTAGCCATAAGAAGCTAGAGCTAATGGGCCAAGCAGTCATTTAGATAATATAGTTTCTGTGTGATTATTTTAGGGCTAAGCAGCCAGGAACTAACTATCAGCCTCCTCCTACAATAAAATAAATATTAAACTTGTAGAAAAAGTAATAGAGAAAGAAAAATAATCCACATAAAGATGGAATACACACAAAGAGTCTCGATTATGTATATTATTGTGTTTTCTTTGAATTTTTTTTGCCTGTGAAGGAGCTTTGTACAGAGAGACATTACATTGTCTGGGTTGCTAAGCTAAACCCACCTATATATTTTAAAGGTATCATGACTTCATAATTTGGGTCTAAGGATATGTTATTTTGGTAAAGAAGTTCTTTTGTTTCCAAAGAGGATGAGAACCTGTGGATTCCTTTCAGACTATGTGGTTTGAGAGATCAAGATCCCCCAAAAGGTAACTGTGAACATCCCCAAAAACACTTTGTCCAACAAAAAGCAGGAAGCAGTTTTGAAAGAACTATGCCCATAGTCTCAAATATTGTTTATAAATGTTTGTTTACATTTAAAGGGGGATATGCTATGAAAATTGCATTGGTATGGATTTTGGTTTATTAATACAAATTTAAGGTCAGTTTTGTTATATGTATATTTCTGCTCTTGATTAAGGTTTTATTGTGTTTGTGCAGATTATTTAAAAATGTAATGTATAATTAAGAAATATAGGTTAATAGATACTCATTTATTATAGTCAAGCTTGTAGTCATGTTAAGTTTTCTAGATATATAGCGATATATTTCAAATAGATGGGTATTCTTCAAATCTTTCAGAGACTTTTAGAATATGGCATTTAAAATGTTTTAAAAACTTAGGGCTTTTCATGACAATGAGACACATCTGCTCCTGGCAGCACAAATCTACTTCAAGAAGATGATATATTTCATATTTTACTATGAGGATCATGTTTTACTGGCACATCTGTCCCAGGCTGCGGCTACATGGCCTCTCCTGACTCTGACTTCTTTCTCCCAGCATTCAGCTTAGTTTTCCCAATCTCACTGTTCTATCCTGCTATAGGCCCAAAGCAGTTTCTTTATTAATCAATGGTACAGCATACAGAGGAGAATACCACATCATCTCCCCATAGGAGAGGCTCCTTAGGGATTTTGCTAGCCATTTGAACAAAAAACTGCTCTTACCTGTACTGTTTGATATTATACTGTATGAACTGGACATGCAGGACCCACAGAGAAATGACTGCTGAAGTTGCCTAAAGGTGAGATGATACTTCGGGGTTCCTGCTTCATGAAAGAGTCTTATAGACATTCTGCAGGACACAGAAAAAAATGACTGACAAACTGCCAATATAAGCAGAACTGTCTTTGAAATTTCCTGCTTCATGGAAAAGTCTGCTAAATACTATGGGCCTGTAGGCCCCAACAGTACAGAAGAACTTTGGGTGACTGTCCAGGTAGCATGATGTCTCTGTCAGTTTTAGAGTTTTGGAAGTTGCTTACAACATATTTTGTGATTGGTTTGATGGAAAGCTGAAGGGCTAATAGCTAGGCAGGAGTAGTTAGGGGGGACTTCCATGAAGAGAGAAGAACTCAGAGGGATGATGAATCTAGGTGTGGGGAGTCTCTAATGAGACACTGAGGAAGTTGGAGGCACAGAATGGAGGAGAGATAAAGAGTGACCTGACAGAACATAGATTAATAGAAGTGGGTTAATTTAAGTTATAAGACCTAGTTGGGAACAAGCCTAAGCTAAGGTTGAGCTTTCATAATTAAGACTAAATCTTGGTGTCATTATTTGGGGGCTGGTGGTCCAAAGAAAGTCTTACAAGAGAGACAGCTAGAGGCTCTGCTTTCTGACCTCAGGTTTTTATTTGATTAATATAACCATGGGTTTGACAGTGTGATCCAATACCTTGCAAAACCTGTCTTAGCTCAATAGAGTGTAGACACAGGACATCCTGCCATGGCCTCTATATGCATTGGAGTGAACTGCTTACCTGAACACTCACACCTCTCTCTCTCTCTCTCTCTCTCTCTCTCTCTCTCTCTCTCACACACACACACACACACACACACACACACACACACACACTTTTGTGATTCTGTTATACTTTTAAAGAGTAGTTTTGGAAAGCTCTTGTTATCCCCAGGGTCATGAGTAGACATTCTCTTTAAACGTATTTTTTTTGGTGGGGGGGAATATTCTCTGTCCTTATTCACTCTCTTCTCAGGGTGATATACAGATAGCAGAGAGGATAAGGTTCATCTGTGTCTCACTTCTGAGGCTTACATAATTTTACATGGCTGTTCTTTCTGATTTTGTAGAGTAGAGAAGTATCTTAGAAGCCAAAGTTGAAAGGAATTGTGTTATTCACCTCAGATATCTAGAGATGGATGGAGAGTGTGGGAGTTATTTCAGACCTCTAGGAACAGACAGATAAATCTGCTAATCCATATCTAGAACTTTTCATATGACCACAGCCAGGCCAGAAACATGAGAGCATGGTGCTGTCAACTTTCCCCAACATTTACGTATTTTATCAAGAACTCAGATTATGGTTGTGTAATCCATGTAGAGTGGCTTGTCCCATCGTTCCAGAATTATCACTGAGACTGGTCTGATACCACATGCTAAGATAACTGAAGTTCTTTTGACCCTTTGTTAAAGTCATGGCCGTGCTACTGTAAACAACCAGCAGTGTTC